GATGGGAGTTATTAATCACCGATTCTTTCATTCATTCCTTTCAGTTCAGCAAACCACTAAACATGTTTCATTGAAATGTAACTCTACCTCGGCCCAATGTTCTAATTCCTCAATAGTTCAAGACATAAAATGATGTGAATTAATCAGATGTAGTTCATTATAAAATCCCCAAATTATCCATCACATTATGGCGCAATATTCCAGTTTGAACATTTGAATGCTTCCCCAGACTTGCCAAGACAATAAAAGCACCATATCATATTATAACAAGACATTCCTTCCATGTTGTAAGTGAAATCATTTCCCATCGTTTAGCCACTACATTTTCATCAATATAAAGGAATTGTTGACTTAAAACAAGTTCCTCTATCTTGCTACATCAAGCGTACTGAGATGTTGGCACAAGAAACTAGACCAAACGTTCTTGGGGACATTTTGTGTTCTTGAAGTGACGTTGACACATTCCAGACTATCAGTTACAGCTAATGGAAAACCAAAACTCTGTTTCTCAGAAGAACAAAAACAAAACATATAATGTTGCATAGGATCATTACAAGGATTCTTCAACTTATTTGTGCGCCAGTTTTTCCTTCCACTCAACTTTTCAGAACAATGCTTCCATGCAGTCTCTTTACATTTTTGTGGCTATCCCTTCCAACTTTAAGATATAAAGTGTAATCCATGAAGAATTTACTCAGGTGATTAAAGCTCTCGATCAACATTCCTGCAGCCGGGGAGTCCAGACTTTCACAAAGCTTTTTTCCGCGTTGTTTGTGCTCACAAACACAGGCAGAGTGCCAGGAAGATTCACGCTTGGCCTGTAATCCATGTTAGCCTGTTAATGTGAAGATTTCTCCCTGTTTGGATCTGGACCCCGAACTTGTGAAAAGGAGACGTTTGGCTGCAGAGTTGAAGCACGACTTGGGTTCTTAAAATGAGCAAAACGGTTTTGCTAAACGATTCGGCCAACAAAAGCACGTTTTTAAACCAGAAAACACAATTTTTGTTTGTTTTTTTTCTTCACAAATGGCCTGTTTTCATGAAGCATATTTATTCAGACTCAGTTCTTAAAGGGAACCTGCCCGACGACATGAAGTAGGCGAAACGATCTGGAGGAGCAGCCGTTTGACATTCTGGAAAGGTTCACAGTCATTCCTGAGGCTTTGGGTCTCCAGTGAAGCACAGTGACGACCATTTCCCACACACAGAGTCGGAGTTAATGATCCAAAAAGTCGGGGCAAAAATGGCTTCCTACGAGAGAGAGAGAGATCAGACACCAACCAAAACACGGTTGAGTTAAAGCAATTCTGCAAAGAACAGCAGGTCAAAGTTTTCTTAAAGGATGTAAAAGACTCATTTAAATGTGACAAAAAAAACAAACATCAACAACCCCCACCTTCACATCCCACGGCTCAGTCCAGCCGCAAAATAAATGAATACATAAATAAAAGAAATAAACCGTCGTCACTCCTGAGAGTTGATGTTTTCCTCACAACAAGTCAAAGTGAGTCAGGCTGACACACGATGATCTCTGCTGTCTCTGCAGCTGCATCGATTCCTGCTTCGGCTGATGCTTTTAGAGGCAAATTGAGGGGTGGGTGTTCAGACAGCATCGATCAGAGCTCCACCGTGTTTCAGACTGGCAGAGCAGCTGAGTCTGAAACACGGAGGGGCGGGGGGGTCAGGGGGGCCCACCTGCTTCATTCACACCCTGATAGCCAGGCTGCAGTTCAGCTGCTTGATGCTGAAGCTGGTGTGTTGAACCGAGCAGCAGGCTTTCAGCTAAACCCACAAAGATCTGATGTAATTGCTATTTATGCAACTGCATGCAGTCCGTGCTCCAGTTTAAAGCTGCAGAGAGGGGATTTCTCGCCGCTTCTCTGCTTCCTGTCTGCTTTCTCACAGATACAAAAAGAAGAAAAGAAAAGAAAAAACGCTCTTGTGAGAGGGTTGGTTTTTTTTCTCACCTTTATTTCATGTCAAGAGCAATTTGTCTCTTTGCTCAGGAATGGGCTGATTTAAAAAAAAAAAAAAGTCAAGTAAATAAATAAAAGAGCAGTTCCTGCTTTCCTGCTAATCCAGACAGAGAACGACAGGTTGCTGTAAACACCTTGCACAAAAAAAAGAGAGAAAATGTGTCGAAACATTGAGCAGGCCTGTTCTTTCTTTCTTTTGTTTTCTGCTGCAGGAAACATTTTGTAAACGGCTGATTTCAAAAATCCATAAATTCTCTCGGTGAAGCCAGAACTTTGGTGGTTTTGGTCACAAAGTCGCTCCATAAAACTGAAAGAAGTGGAAAGAAAAAAATGCATCCTAACCTAACAGCTGAAAGTTTGAGTTCAGTGAAGGTCAAGATGTTTATCGTGCATGTTACTAAACCTAAAATCAGGGTGAAAGTTTGCCTTTCACCCTGCCTTTCACACACCACCACAGCTACACCAGCACAGTATAAAACAAAGCATATTCAAGCGCTAGAACGGCCCAGTCAAAGTTCAGACCTGAGGGAACTCAACGACGTGTGGTAAAAATGTTAAAAATGTATATTTACAGTCACTTTTCATCCAAAATGACTGTTTGCTTATGGAGAAATACATGCCACACTAATCAGATTGCATTGGTCTATCCTATGAAAATGGCAACAAACAAATTGAGGCTTTTGATTGACGTCGAACAAAATATGCATAACTCCAGGAATGCAAAGCAAATAAAATATTATTTTTGATAATAAAAACTGTCGACGGTTTGTTTTTCCAAAGTTTTTTCCCCCCCTTCAATTCAAAGATTCCATCCGACTCGGGTTTCAATCATATCGAATGGCAGTCCGAAGTCCCGGCCTGAACCCCGACTTCACCATCTGTCGTCTAAAACAGAAGAGGAAGCAGCAGCGGGGAGCAGCTGAGCCTGGTGACCTCTGACACTGCAGCCGGGCGAAGAGCGGACAAACGCCCCTCTCTTCGTCTCGCTGGACGTCCAAAGACGGCAGCAGACACAGAGAGAAGAAACAAAAAGCAAAACAAGGAGATGTGCTTCAGACAGGAAGGCAAAATAATGACACAACCGTCCATTTCCTGTCTGCGTCTCCGTACGCCGCACAGGCGGACAAAGAGAGGCGAGGACATTACTAATGCCAGCGGCCAGGTGTCCACATGCAGTCAGACAGCAAAGCCATGGAAATCCACAGCAGCGTTTTTTGTCTTTCTCACAGAGGGACGGAAAATAAAACTGAGCGCTTATTTTATTTGTCTATTTTAGAAAAAATGTGTTTTCACAAAGTTATCTTGGAATGAAGCATCATTTATATTTTTTTACAGAAGAGATTATTTTAAAAAAATAACTTCAGATTTATGATGATCGTCAAATAATTGCCTTATTTTGAAATATTTAAGCAACACAAACAGCTGCATCACTTAAGGACAAGGTAAATAATGCATCTTGAGATATTGACATGAAAATATGTTTCTCAGCAGGTCCTTTCTAAGTGCACATATTCCAACATCTGCCATTCCAGCAGATGTTGGAATATTTTAGCAAAACCAGCAACAAGAAATAAGAAAGTTCCCCTTTTTTAGGACAATGATGCATTTGCGTCAATAGAAAGTCTTTTCAGTGTCCGCTTCCGTCTTATAAGAGCTGAAAGACAAAGACGCTGCATCCATTAGCTGCCTGGTAATGGAGCTGCATTAGTGGGAGACTTCCTCTCAGCGACCGTTGATAAATCATGCTAGTAACAAAGAAATGCCTTCACTGGAGAAACAATGCTGGAGGGGCCAGATGGACAAATGCATCTAAATATAGACAAAACATTTGTAATCTCCCAGGAGTTCCAAACGCGCCAGCGGGACGGGTTTGATGCTCGCCTGGGAGACCGAGCATCCGCCCCCCCCAAACCCCAGCAAGGCGGTGACTCAGCAGCAGCTGTTGCTATGGGTTACCAGGCAGGACAAGTGTGGGGGATCGGCTCAGTGCTGACACATCTGACCCCATCACCAAACGCCACCTCCCCTGCGGCGGCTCCACCCTATCAGCTGCTCCCCTTTGAAATCCACTTTCTCTGGAAGGCTGAGGAGAGAGGAGGTGCTAATCCCATCTGGGAGCGTGGAGCGGGTCCCTCCGCCACCTCCCCACTGACCTGCACGGCGACGCCGCTCTTCCCTCCCCCACTGAGATTAATGCCTCATTAGGAGCGTCTGATTTAACAGTAATCCACTTACACCAAGATTCGTCGACTAGCCGGTTTTCCCAAGATCAAATGTGGTTGAAGGGACTGAAGCCGTTGTGCACCTGTGTGAGATTCTGATATGACAAAACAATATGCTCCACTGGAGCTCTGTCCTGTAAAAACACCCAGGAAGTCTCAACCTGCAGTCCTCCAAGGACAGTGTCCATTGTCTCACACGTTTGAGCTCTACTGATGAGCCCGTATTGGAGCTCGGTGTGCCGAAGCAGAGAGACGTTTAAAAGTTGCAGGAGTCTGAGCTTTGAGACCGCTCTCTTAAAGCAATAGCATGCTAATGTCATTAGACCTCGTAGCAAGTGGCTAATTCGGGACAAAGGCAGAGTTAATCCCCTGCAGGAGACACCCTCTGCATTCTGGGTCAGGCCGGGATGTAACAACCGGGCAAACAGGTGTTCGATGCAGAGTTGGTTTCAGGCCGGGTTCCTGAGACCTACTGGACCACACCTTGCTGCAAGGCCTCCACAAAACCAAGACATTGGAAGGGATCACTCTGCAATTACAGGAATTACCGGGTTACCATTCCTGTAATTGCAGAGTGGACTTTGGCACCTTTTGTTTAGCTTCATTAGCCCTGGCATAGCATTAACCAACAGTCCATTTCCTTGATCACAGGAAACACAGCAGGCTTTGCAGATGTTTCCTCAACCTGATCATTTAGCGGTAAATTCAAAAGTCAGGCAGCAACCTGAATATGCAGGCAGCAACCTGACAATGAAGGCAGCAACCTGGAGTGTGTGATGTAGCCACAAAGAGCAGTCAAGAGTTCATTTTAGTAACAAATTCTTTTTATTACAACATTTCACGGTTTTCCATTTTCTGGCAATGGTTTGTGGCAGAGTAACATGACTGCTGGGAAATTTACAAAACTCCGAAAAGAAGTTTGATTAACAGTTCAAAGCAAACACAGAACCAGTTACCCAAACAATTTCCTCAACAGAGACGGGAGCGCTTCCCTGAACCGCTCAGAAAACAAGAGGCCACGAGATCCTCTGAGCTTCTCCTATCAAGATGGACTCCGTTATTTTAATCCTTGTATACACACACAAACAAAAAAAAAAAAAAAAAAAAAAAAAAAAAAAACGTTGTGACAGTATCAATTTTTTGGGCAATTACATTTTGGCCAGCGAAGAACAAAGTTGTGCATTTCCGAAAATTAGAAGACGAAACGAAAAAGAGCCTGACGCCTCGCAGAAGCAGCCACACGGGATGCCGGGTGGTGGAGGTGGTGGTGAAGGTGAAGGTGCGACGACGACGATGATGATGAACTTCCTGGAGCGCAGACCACGCCCCTCAACCTGCAGGTCAGCGTTGGCAGTCTCAGTGGCGTTGGGACCAGTCAAAGCCCGTCCTCCTCCTCCTCCATCCTGTTTCAGGCCGACAGAGCGGAGCGCGGCGGTGGGATCTGGGCGGGGCGCGAGGCTGACAAAGGCATCATCCGTCCACACGGCTGTGCAGCTCGGTTATAGTCGTCGATTCATACTTTCGGTTACAGAGTTATACAGCTAAAAGAAGTGACTGAAAACAAGGCAATGCAGGAGGAGAAGGGGGTGTACAGTGCATGACGGGGAGGGAGGGGCTTCATGATGCCTGCTTCTCCTGTTCAATGGCTGTCAGAGACAAAATAAAGGAGATTTTAGGAAACATTTCCTGGCAGTAAATCCTAGAAATCGCGGGTCCGGAGCTGCAGCTTACTCTCTTTTGTCGGCAGGGGGTTTTTCTCCTGCGTCTCTGTCTTCTTCAGCTTGGACTTGTCGAAGCTGGTCACCTCTGAGATGTCGGGTTTGTCACTCATTGTTGCAGTTGGTCTAAAAAAGGAGCCAAAGAAAGAAAAAAAAATATATATATATATATATAAATCTATGGAGAGTTAATTTACAGCACGTGCAAGAAACATGAAGGGGGCAAAAGGAGCTTATTGGATATTAATGACGCATTTTCGAAAATCTGCCCAAGCATGAGGGTCTTTTTTTTTTTATCAGGAAGAGGGGGAGGGAAGAAAGGGCGTTGCCTCCAAAAAAAAAAAATCTCAGCCAACTACTATCACTTTCTCAGCTCGCTCCTTGTAATGTGCACGAAAACCGACCGCCTCCTTTTGTCCGCCTGCAGCTCAGCAGAGACAGATTTGATCGGCTCGCATCCCGCTGCGGCGCGGCGCGTCCCTGCGCGCGAGGCGGCGCGGCGCGGGGGATGCTGCACCCAGAGGGGTGAGGGGTGGTCAGGGGGTGACGGTGGGGAGACGCACAATGACACCGAAGCCAGTCTTAGCCTGCCATTTACATAACAATGGGAGTTCCCATGCTGCGTAGACTGGGGCTGGTGGGTGGGGAGTGGAATGAAAAGCATGCCTTTTATTTGGAGTTGAATTTAAATTCAGGAGCTCGGGGTTTCATTTGAGCGCGGAAGGCAGCTGTGCAACATCCGCACATTCGCCAAGCGCGTACTTCTGGCGACGGGGGTCGCAGTCTGGGGGGGAACCACCGCCCAGATTTTCATTCAGCTTAAAGAAAACAACAACAAACTTCGGCTTCACTTTCTGCCTTGGTTTTAACAGAGAAAGCTGGAGGGGGCGGAAGGATTTAGAAACAGGAAATAGTCCGCTGCGCAAGATAAAAGCAGCGGGTTGATAACGGGACGGAGCGCGTGCAGCTCACGCGCACACAGAGCAGCAACAAAGAGAAGAATAGACAGTGCGCGAGACAAAGCACGAATCTTCTATCATTTAAAAAAAAAAACATATTAAAATGTGCAAATGAAGCCAATTAAATACGTTTCCTTCCTAATACAGCTGCCTAAAAGAAAAAGAAAAAAAAAATCTTCCTCTGCGTCTTCATCACATTCCAACATTAATCCACCGCTTGGTTCCCCAGAATCGCTGCAGGAACCACAGAGCGGGACAAAGATGGAGAAACAAGCCGAGAGGCGCTTACCGATGTGCTGGCTCACGGTGAGACTTCTGTGCTCGGTGGGTTGCAGCAGTAGTGCTGGCGTCTTTTGCGCAAGCCCCTCATATACCCAGGAATATGCTAATGACGTCTGACATCACCAGCTTTCCTCCACAGCTACTCGCTCGCAGTCGCCCCCCGCTGGACGAAAGGGGAAGCGCTCTCTCCAAAAACTCCAAAAAGGGGAAGCAAAAGTGGTAAAAGAATGAAAGTGTTTCAAAACTTGAGCCAGAATGCTCCGCTCGAGACACGCTCACTTTATGTGATCCGTTATACTGATGAGTGACTTATTAGTGTCAAAATAGAAGCGCTTTAAAACGCTTCTTCCTGATGTTTGGCTCGCTTCCTGCTCATCTGTGAACACTGGGCGCCACCTGGTGGCGATGAGGCGAACATCTCCGCTAATTTTGGGGTTGCAGACGAATAAAAGAATCCGACACCTGAAAACATCCTTCAGAGAAATACAGGCAGAACATGCATGTTCTTATATTTATATACATTAAAGAACTTCGCTTTGAAAATATATAAGAACATCTTTTATGTGAGAATGATCAGATCGGTGTTTATAAGAAGCAGGTTTCAGATATTCAAGAGGGATTTCAGTAACTCAAAGTGAAACTTCAAGTGAAATTTAAGATAATTCCCAGGCGTCTATTAAATTGGTTTATGTTCATCAAATATGGCAAAATCTTTGCAGTTCCACTCATTTCTAATCTGAGCCAATACAGAGATTATGCAGCTTTTTTTCTGTCCCGCATTTTTTGACATTTTTGCAGACGCCAATCCATAATTGCAACCAAATTCTGTCATTTTTACGCCTTCATTACCTGCGCGACGCCACTTTGACGCAAACATGCATTGAAAACGCCTCTTCCATGCAGCTGCAAAGCGAATTAACCAAATTCGTTTCGTGTTTCATGGACTTCAACGGAGGATTTACTTCCGCCGACGACTCACGTAAAAGAGAAAAGTCAGACTCAGTCGGGATCAGTTTGCAATTTTCAGAGCTTTATTATTAAAAGAAACAGCTTTTCCTGTGGTACATAAAAAAAAAGAAATAAAAGAAAATCAGCACATTTCTTTTAAAAATCACCTTTCAAGCCACTTTCAGGCACACTGTGAATCCTGCCTTCACTCAACAGAAGTGACCCGTTACAGCTGTGGTAGCGGCGCCGATTTACAACAAATAAATCCCGGATTCTTAATACTATTTAAACCAAACAAAACCAAAGATAAAAATAAAATAAAAATCAAAGCTTTGGGCTCCATCGTTTCTCATGACCTTTTTTGAGAGAGCAGGCGGCGCGCCTGCCGCACCTCGTGTTAGTGAGGAGAGCATTTTAGTACAATCAGCATGATTAGATCAGAGTGAGGTCATGCCAACGTCATGACAGCAGCTTGCATTTGTTGTGACTCATAAAAAATGATGAGAAAAAAAAAAGAAACAATTAACTAACGGCAGAATATGAATCCCTAATCAAGTCAGTCTGTTAGTGAGTTAAAAAGGTTAGAAGGAGACGCTTTTAAATGTTTGCGTCGCATGCCAGTGAGGAATGAATGACTGACACTGGATTGAACAAGAAATTAGAAAAAAGAAAGAAAAAAATAAGATGCAACATGATGGACCACTTGGTAGAAGTGAAACTCGGAACTAACAGAGAAGTTATAAATATAACATGGTTTTTATCTGCTGGGTGGAAATGTCACTGACGATGTGTGTGTGTGTGTGTGTTTGTGTGACCGGTTTGGGAGTCACACGAGCGACTTCGTTCGGCCAGAAAGTGCTGGCCAGAGAGAGAGGCCTCGTGGAGGAGAGACGCAGGAGAGGAGGGGGATGAGGAGGGTGGGGTGGCTCTTCCTCACAGAGGCACGTGGCTGAAGAGATACGAAACCGACTCGCCGTTGTGGGTCCGCCTGATCGCCTCAGCCAGGATCATGGAGATGTCGATGACCTGGAGGGGGGGGGGGGGGGGGGAAGCGCACGATCAGTTCTGCGCCAACACTTTCTAAAAGCTTCACTTCCTCCTCTGATGCGTTCACTGAGGCTCAGGAAACTACAACGCTCTTGGTGACATTCAAGCAGCGTCCAGTAATCCTCAAGGTCAGGTTTCAAACGTTTCCAGCCCAACTTTGGAGATAAAAAAACAACACAAATTCACTGGAGGAGAGGAGACGGTTTGGATTCACCGTTATGTGATATAGTTTGTTACTGCTGCTAATAATGTCTTCTACATTCCACGGTAGGGACGAAGTAAACGTCCGTTTGAGAGGTCATCACGAAGCAAGAAGGGAGACGACAAACGAGACGATGAGGAAGATCAGAGGCAAAAGTTCCATCAAACGCAGAAAACTTGCGAAATGAAATCCAAAACGTTTGATTGAAGTCGGTGGATTCAGTGGGTGACCATCAAAATTAGCAGGTAAAAAAAAAAAAAAAAAAGGTAAAATGCCTACCTGTATCTTTGGGCACGCCTTCATCTTCTCCTCCTGTGGGATGGTGCTGGTCACCACCACGGCCTCGAACGGCGCGCTGTTGATGCGGGAGATGGCCGGGCCGGAGAAGATGCCGTGCGTGAGGATGGCGTAGACCTTGGTGGCGCCGGCGTCGATCAACCTGACGGACGACAAACCAACACTTCGAGAGACGTTCAGGGGAAAGCGGCGAACGTCTGGAGGACCTGAACGGGACCGACTTGTCGGCGGCGTGGCAGATGGTGCCGCACGTGTCGGCCATGTCGTCCACCAGGATGGCCACGCGGTCCTTCACGTCCCCGACCAGAACCATGCGGTCCACTTCGTTGGCCTTCTTCCTCTCTTTGTGGATGAGGGCGAAGTCCACGTTGAGGCGGTCGGCGATGGACGTCACGCTGCGCGAAACGCAACCGAAATCAAAAAAAAGAGCGACACCGAGGGTTTGTCAACCGCCGACGCGTCGAGCAGCGGACCGTCTCCGGCTTATCCGACACGCCGACCTTTGACCCCGACGTGTCTTATCAGATCTGCTCACCGCTTTGCTCCACCGGCATCTGGAGACACGATGATGCAATCCTTCCACTCGGGAATGTTTTCTTTGATCCACTGCAGGACGGCGGGCTCTGCATACAGGTTGTCCACGGCGATGTCAAAGAAACCCTGCAGAACGCAAAATAAATAAATATTATAAAAGTACATTGAAGAATTTAAACATCAAAACTAATTTTCTAAGAGTAAAAAAAAAAAAACACTTTTCCATCTTGGAGAGTATAAACTGGTGTTCAGCTCGCAGGGCTGAAAAGGTTGCCGACCTTTGACCCCAACCTCTTTGCCAAGCATTTATTTCAACAGGCACTATTACATCACCACCTTTCTTCTATGTGTAATCTGAAACATTTTCCTTTCAGTAGAATATAAATACAAGTTTTTGATTAAATTAAGGCCAGAATTGAGAACAAAATTTGTTTTTGTTTCTAGACCTTCAGTTTTGAAGAAACCTGTTGAAAGAGTGAACACTTCTAGAAAGTGAAAAAAGAAGAAGAAGAGCCTGTTTAGTAAAAGGTGCATCGTAAACGACTCCATGCATGTTAGTACGGATTTGAGCTCTAAGTTTTTTTTAAACTGAGCTAACGTTGAAAAAGTCAAAGTTTTGTTCACATGTCCCTTGTGTATCTTTGATCTCGTTACACATGTCCACAGGTTGAGCTCACACACCTGGATCTGCGAGGCGTGGAGGTCCATGGTGATGATGTGGTCAGCGCCGGCCACCGACAGCATGTTGGCGACCAGCTTGGCCGATATGGGCGCTCGACTCTGAATCGAGACGGAGAGAAAGAAGAAGAGAAAGAAGAAAAACCGACGATCAGGCCGTGCAGATGTGCAGCCTGAAGCGGGCACGCCTCACGTGCTGCACAACTCTTTTTTTTTTTCTTCTTCTTTCTGTTGGGAGTCGCCACTTCGGTGCTGCGGGGGAATAACTCTCTCGGCTCTGGGGCTCGCCTGACCTTGTCCTTCTTGTCCTGCCGGGCGTACGGGAAGCAGGGGATGACGGCGGTGACGCGGGACGACGAGGCGATCTTGCAGGCGTTGATCATGATCAGCAGCTCCATCAGGTTGTCGTTGATTTCGCCGCAGCCGCTTTGGATGATGTACACGTCCTCGCCGCGCACGCTCTCCCCGATTTCCACGCTGTCGGGAAATTAAAACAGGAATAAATGAAAAACCTTAAGAGTTGCACATTAGCAGCATTGCTGTTTGGGTTGCCGGTGGCGCACAACCGGTGATTAATGTTGAACAAGTTCCAGCTGTATTTAAAAAAAAAAAAAAAAAAAAGAGGAATAATGTATGAAATGATTTCCAGGAACTCCCTCCGTCCCGTTGCTCCGGTCCTTGACCTTTTGGTCATCTGGTCGGACCGGCGCTGCAGCAGAGCGGCGCTGTGAGAAGGCAACAGTGCAATCTTTGTTGTTGCGATTTGTATCTGTATTTTACCACAAATCAAAAATAAGGAAAGCAGCTAAAGCTGCTTTGTTGGCCACAAGTCCTTGATGAAATGAACGCATGAGGCCCAAAAAGGTTCGTCCTTCCCAGCAGCGCGCATGACCCCAAAAAACAGGTCAAAGCCTGAGCAGGAAATCGCCTGTAAAAGGCGACACCGGTCAGAAAGGTTGGAAATTAATGAGCAGCGACTGTGTGCATGTGATCTGACCGCAGTGGAGGTAAGAGTAATTAACCTCCCTGACGCAGAGCGGCGACGCAGCAAGGACTGCTGGGAGTTCTCTGATCTGCTCCTGACCATAACCCAGGATACGCTACAACCTAACAACTGTTAAAGTGATATTTGCTCCAGCATGCATAACTTGTAAAAATGTAACGAATTATGTGCAGGATCACAAGAATGTTCACCAACATGGACTTGAACCATTCAGCATGTTAAAATGAGTGTTTTTAAGCTCAACATGCTAATGTTAGCGTGAATACTGCCAGTAGTATGTTGTCTGTAATTGACTTACTCCATCCAGTATGCTAACCAAGGCTAATAAGTAAGATACCTTATTTAATGTAAAAGGCTAATGCTCTGCCTTGCTGTGCAACCTGAGAGAAAAAGATAAAGCAGGCTAATGCATTAGCCTGCAGGCTAATCTTAGGCTGTGCACAAGTGGGGTACAGTGAAATGCTAATGTTTGTGCTAATGTTAAAAGAAAAAGATAACACGAGCTAATATTATTGCACTGCCTATGGCGTTGCACTAACCCGACAGGTACATGGAGGCTTTTATTTTGAAATTTTCAGCAAGCTTCATATTGATTGGCAACATTAACCCCATGTGTAACATTGGTTCAGTTAAGTTCCTCCCTTTAACGCAGCGGCTGTAGGAATCAGTTCCACTCTAGATTTCAGCAGTTGGAAATTGTGCTAGTTTTCCGCTTTTTTTACGTCGCCATGGTAACTCCGAAGCCCACTAGAAGTAATGGCTCCCTTCTCCGCACCAGGCCGCACGTTTTCATACCACTTTTGTGGGGGTGCACGCATTAACGGTGATGGAAGAAAAATTAAATTAAATTAAATAAATAAAAAGACATTCTATTGCGTGCATTGCTATGGTTAGGTCCCAAATACCGCAACAGATATCAGTCAGGCGAAACAGAAAAACGCCACACGGTGTTGTGTCCAATTTAGTACACCCCAAAAATCGAGTCCAGTGTCCCAAGTTGCAACTGTTAGCTTCTTAGCTAACTATGAGAACTTTAGCAAGACCGTGCAAAATGAGACAAAGTCTTGTCACGGCACGCAGCGAATCCGCCCAACTATTCTTCAGACTCTAAGTCAGACTTTCCGCTTCGTTTGAGCGGCGGGCTCATCAAAAACATCACGAAACGCTTAACTATGGGCTTGTGTCCGACTATAGGAACACTAGCATTAGCTTGCTGTGTTTACATGAGGCTACATGTTAGCCTTGAAGCTAAGCTACACACACGTGATAGCGGTGATGGAGCACCAACAGCTTGATTTTAACGTGCAAAACGACTAAAACAACAACAAAATCACAACGTTGGACCCACCACGTCTCCTGGTTGCTGAACTTCTTGGTGATCACCTTCCCGAGCTCCAGTCCGAGCCGATCAGCCACTTTCTGGGACAGGTCATGATGGGAGCTCCCGCTGAAAAGCACAATGTTCGGCATGTCCTCAAAACAAATAAACAAATTAAATAAAAAAACGAGGGATTCCGCTGCAGACGGATTGAAAACAAAAAAAAAAAAAAGGCGACGGAGGTCTCTCCCGAAGACGGGGATGGGGGGGGCTAAGAGCGCTAACGTTGCAGCTGGAGCATGGCACTGTCGCAGCGCTGAGGACAGACGGCAGAGAGGAAATAGGAGGTCAGTATTTGCACGTAGAAAGGAAGAGCTCGCTCCTGATTGGACAGCGCGGAGAGTCACTGAGACACGTACAGTCATTGTTTACTATACATTGTATGGCAAGCTCTGTAGAATATAATTCAACCACATGACTTTAGTACTCATTTACGTTAGGTAATAACGAGATATACGGGGCTAAATACATTATGTTGCTGGAATGTGAACTGAATGGCGACCATAATGTATGGTAAGAAGTGTTGTCATATAATTGCAGGTACTTTGTACTTACATGTTGCCATCCCACCGAGTACTTCTGTGAAAATTGGTTTTCTTTTCAACAATTACAAAAAAAAAAAAAAAAAATTCAATATTACATTATTTTTATACACTAGTTCCTTTTTATCAGAAGGGAAGTAATTAACAGATCTGCCAACTTGCACCGTTATGACAGACATTTTAATACAGTTGTACAATAAGACAGATTTGTGCATGCCAAATTTGCTTAATAGTAAGTTGCAGTTTGGCTTATAAGATGAGATTTCACACGGAAATAAATATATATTAGAAAGTACTTTGAAGCTGAAAATCCAAGTAGAAAAGTTGGAGATTTCTCAAGTCCAGACCTCAAAATCCAACATGGCTGCCTAGTGTGTACAAACAAGTGACAGCTGCAGTAATCGTAATAATTTGACCTATACTTTTTTGCACAAATTCCTATCCCATTTAATAATAAATGACACCCAAAAAACTCTGAAACATTGATTTTTGATAAGTGTTATCTGTTAAATAATAAAAAAGCCTACCATACATTCCTAAGTCTAAATGTTTTTACTGACAGTTTAGCACTCAATTAATTTGTTATATTTTGATGCTGTAGCATTTGTTCTAGTCAGTTGAATGTACATCACTAAAATGCCTTTTTCTATGCATGTTGCTTTTTTTTTTTGACTGCTTCTTTTATCAGCTGAAACAACTTTTCAGAGCAAAGGCAACTTTTCCTGCAGAACTTTGGAGAAAAGTCACCAGACTGTTTTGTAATTAGGTTTTCCACTCAAAGAGAAGTCATCTGAGAGGCTTTTTTTTTTTTTTTTTAAGTTGTCATGTGCTGGGAAATGTTTTTTTTTTTTTTTTTTTTTTTTTGTCACTTTATCAGATCAGATGCAACAGAAAAATCAGAAGCTGTTCTACTGGAGTTATTCCAAGTCGGGGGTCGATCGCCTGACAGCATCCTGAGCTGCTTGTGAACTTTGAGCAAAACTGGGAACAAGATAACTCAAGAGTGTATCTCTTTAAATCAAATCTGCTCAGACGTCTTGTTCTCAATGTGCTGCATTCACGAAGACAGCGAAAGTAATGTAGTTCAACCAAAACATTTATCTGGAAGAAAACGGAAAAAAAAAAAAAAAAAAAAACACAGGAAACATTTGTAATTTTCAGAAATATATTCTATAGATGATGTCAGAGATGAAATGTCTAAAGCGTAGGTCCCAAAGAAAGAGAACGTTTTTCATCAATAGAGACAAACAAACAAAAAATAACTTTTTGTTTTCTCATCAATTTACATGTAAACCAAGATTTGCTCTTGAGCCACAGTGGTTTATATATATATATATACACGACTATATATATATAAATATATATAGAACTGGCCGAGGTGGGTGTGACAATCAAATGGCGATGCCCTTTGTTTTCCCAAACTGCCTTCCAGACAACATCCATCACTTGCAAAAATAAAAACAAAAAATAAAAAACCTTCAAAACGAGAGCGTTCTTTGGGAGTCTCTTCTTGGAATTGTGAAAGTTGCGGAGGTTTGGCAGAGCGCGTCTCTCTGGAACGCAGTCCGTAAGTGCTGAATCCTGTGAAAAATATCAAATGCTTCTCGACGTCAAAAGTCTTTGTAAATCGTTCGGCCGGCGGAGGCTGGAGAAAAGCCTCCCCCGCCCCGCCCCCGCCAGGGAGGTTTCGTCTAAAAGTCCCTCCAGTGTTCTTCTGTTGTGCAAATACAATTTTCTTCTTTTTTTTTTTCTTTTCATTACATAGACAAGCAGGCATGCTGACTCACAAACCATGCAAAGAGTTAAAGTTGGTGCGAGCAGACAGCAAAAAACGCCGAAAAAAAAAAACCTTAACTTAGGTTTCTACAAATAAAATAAAATAAAAAAATACTTCAGAGAAGTCAAATTAAACAGATAACAAATGGAATGTATCGTCAGGCTCGAAAAACATCAAATCAACTTTGAATCTTACAGGTTTATAAAATGATATCGGCTTAAACATGATGAGCGTCTAAATTACAGCTGAAACCGGATTTGCTGAAACTGTATAAAAACCTATTTTCCCCTCACCGTTTGACATTAAATCAACCTAAATTTTCCTTGTTTCATGTCACGTGGGAGCTGCATTTTTACATAATAAGCTAAATGCGAGACATGATCAAATGTTTTGTTTTATTTTCTCAAAATTGAGACGTTCGCACAAGAGTTGGGTTCAAGCTTTGGATGCAATTAGAGGAAACATTTCAAAAATCCTTGAGTGACCTCAACAATTACCAGGACATTTTTGTTCATTTCAGAATTCAAGCCAATAAAATCTGTTATTATTCGCAAATGTAAGTAATCGAAGCAGAATAATTAGTCGGATTTAATGCCCAAAGGTGAGAAAAAAAACCCTTTTCCTTTCTTTTTTCTTCTGTTTTATCCATCGTACGTAAACGTCCGGTTTCTCCTTTGCTGTTTTGTGCCGCAAGGAGCTACGTGAAAACGGCCTCGAAACGTCTGCGGACGGCGCGGTCAGTCGAAAAGGAGGATGAGCTGATGAGGCAACGAAGTGATGAGACGCGTCAAAAGTCAACTGCGGTGCCGTGCCGTGATTGGCCGGAGGGCCGCTTGAAAAACAGTGCAGTCGATGACGAGTTGAATACGCTGTTTATGCACCGGACTAGGCTTCTTTTTTTTGCTCACAATATCATAGCTGTCATTAGGTAAGAGTACATTTATAAAGTTTCCATATACAAATCTCCTATAAACAGTACATGTTATAAATACATAGTTGATGAAAATGCTGGAAAAGGCTCCGGGAGCCGTAGAAAGGAAGAAAGAAAGGAAAGAAGGAAGAAAGAAAGAAAGAAAGAAAGGAAGGAAGGAGGAAAAGAAGGAAGGAAGGAAGGAAACAAGGAAGGAAGAAAGTGTTGCTCCTCGTTTTCCATAAATACAAGAAAGAATAAACGACAACAGCACTAAAAGTACATGAACGCAGACCTATATCTATGCAGAAAAAAGAAATGGATGAAAACAAAACACGACGAAACCTCTGCATGAAAAAAAACCGTCAGTAAAATAATCTTGCACGTTAAAAAAAAAAAAAAACAGAGCGCACTCGCTGAACCAAACATGTTTCTGATATCATTAAGATCGACCACATCGATGCGGAAACTCAAACACGTAGATACAAACTGACAATACTTAGATTACGGTCAAAATATATTCAGTTAAATATACACGACTGGTGTGAAGCTCACATAAGGTAGTTGCCAACCTTTGATCAGCACGTGTAAAGAAATGCTCACCTGATCCGAGGCGGATTAAATCAGTAAACGTTGGACTGGGTATTGGGAGCTGTGCCGCCCCCCTCTATGGTACCATGTTGGCCTGTCAGAGCTCCGAAAGGCACCGCTTTACATGATGCAATACTTTAAAAACAGACAAAAGACCATAATGAACCATCAAGAGTGCTTTGATTTGCCAAATAGCTTCAGGAAAAACTTATTTCAAACTTGTTTTTTTTGCTGTGTGGGCAGGTGCCCAGGGCGGCAAAAGAAGGGGGGTGGAGCACCAAATGTACAAAAAAAAAAAAAATTCAATAAAAAAATAAATAAAGCAAGAACAGTTTTCTATTGCTTTTGTTTGTTGTTTTATGGTTACAAACATCAAAATTATCTTCAATAGTTGTAAGAATGCAACCAGATTTATGATGACATTCACGTAATCGGAAACTGATATCATTTGCCTTTGTGACTTAAGACTAATAAAATTTAAAAAAAAAATAAAAAAACAAAACTCCAGACATTTTCCCCCCCAAACTGGCATCATAATGCATACCATAGAGGGTTAAAGGGCCAATACGTGAAATGTTGCGTGTCGACTCGCCCTTTCCAGATAAGAGAACGGTAAAAATGCAAACTCATGCTTTGGCTTCTTTTTTTTTTTTCTTTTTTCTTGCTTGCTTTCTCTTTTGGGCAACATTCGTTAAAATCTGCTTGAAATGCATGCTCCGCAAATTGTTTTTGCAAAAAGCGCCGACTCTTAAAGGGAGGCTACATCAAAGGCTAAACTGCTGTGAGAGTTCGCGATCCGGTTCCTTTTCTCAGTGTTTGCACCGTTGTCTATAGAAGCTGGCAACTATCTTTTACAAAGCGGTTTCTTTCTCTCTCTCTCTCTCTCTCTTTTTTAAACTTTTTTACAGAAAAATAGATCCATCAAAAAAGTAAAGTAACTCTTCAAGAGAGGCCGTCGGAGACATAAATGTCGTCTCCATCACTTTCTAAGTAAACATGCTGAAAGATTGTTAGCTTTTTTTTGTTCGTCGTTCCTCCCTCCTTCCCAGGTCTGCTTTCTCGCACCAATTCCTCGGTGGGAGAAATGGTTGAACTTAAGGCAATCTTTTTCCTGAACAATCCTGAAAACAGGCGGATCCCCCCCACTCCCCTCTCCAAGGCACTCCTCTCACTCGTCAACCTTCGACGGCGGGCTGCTCCAGCGAGGCGACCGTCTCGGCCGTCGAAATCTTTTGCAAAATCCTTCCTCGAACGACGGCAAAACGGGTCTCCACAGTGAGCGCGGCGCGTTTAAAAAAAAAAAATAGAGCAAAGAAAAAAAAAAAAAAGGTCCTCCCAGATGCCGCGGCGTTCCCCTTGTTTAGTGGGGAATGAAGTTAAGAGAAGAGAAACAAACACCCTCACTATCCCCACACCCCTCCCGAGCTGCTCCAGGACGGCCGGGAACGTCCGCTGTCCCTGCTTTCTCGACTGAATGCGGTCAGAGGGCAGCTGCACAAAGCACCGGGTGTGACAGCACACCGTTCCTTTCTGCGACAAGATCCGATCTCGACCCCCGCCGGCTGCCGTGATCGCCCAGTCGGCCGCTGTGGGCTGACGCCAAGGTGCGAAGACTGACAGAAAAAAACAATGAGCGTCTCTAAACGAGTGCCGCTAAGCAACGCTGTTAAGTTTGAGTTTTTTTTCCCCCCATTTCAGTTCAGTCCTCTGTCTTCTGATTGGCTCCCTACGCTGAGGCTGAGCCCGCCCCTCTCCCCCTCCCTCGCTTTAGACCGAGGGATCGCCAATCAAGGTGATTAACGTGGTGAGTGGGGTTAGGGGCGACTAAATGAAGGGGTCAGCCGAGGCTCTTCTCCGGAGAGGTCAATGGCTAAACTGCAACGCCCTGACGCCTGCCTCGGTTACAGCGGAGCCTCCTCCTCCATGGGCTCCTCCTCAGCCCTGCTGGGAGAGAAAAAAAGTCAGAAAATGTGCTTCTATGCAGATGATCTCACGTTCTTCATCAAATTCATACACTGACCAAGATACAGAATTTAAGTAAGGATGAAAAGGACAGTAACCTGCTGCATGTTCAGATAATAAGACACAAAAGTCCAACTAAAGACGAGAAAAACATAATTTTGTGATTTTCGAAGCTTATATTAAACAGCCAGCGGTACCTTTGATCCATGGTGTTGGTGTTCGCTACAGACAGAGACGCCATGGCACTGACGGCCTCGGCCTCCTCCGAGTCGCCTCGCTTGGCCTCCAGCAGAGAGAGTCCCAGCCGCGACGAGTAGCGATGCACCGAGCGCCAGTACTTACCTGAGATGGAAGGGAAGGACAGGACAAAATAAGAAACCGCGCGGAACGTGTCCACTCTGGTGTACAACTTGGCGAAAGTCAATGTGATAACCTAGGAATAGTGCAGTTCTAGCAAATATACAGTCATAACACAGTTAAAAAATATGAAGATCTTTCCCACTCCATAATCTGAGTCCTACAAACCACTTCCATGTCTGCGTTTTCTAATCCTCCTCTGAGTGAGAACTCTGTCCATCAGCAGTAGAGAACCATGTGTGTAATCCTCCATGTTTTGCAGCTAGAGAACATCTGTGTGTTTCCTGTGGCGACGCTGCGTGTGTGTGTGTGTGTTTACGTGACCGAGGCCGAACTCACTGTGAGTCTCTATGACTTTCTCCAGAGAGCGCACAGCGTTGGGGTTGGGCCTCTGCTCCAGGACAGCCTTTGGAAGAGCATCCAGCTGCATGTGACAAAAACACACGCAACATGGAAACAGAGCATGGAAACATGAGGATGGAAACATGAGGATGGAGCGGGCTTCCACCAGGGGTCAGTCTGGACAGGAAAAGCACAAGGGAAAACAAGGCTTCGTCCATTCCCAGCAGATTCCCACTGTTCTGTTTCACTCCAGAAATAAACCAACACTGCACGTTCAGTAAATCAATTTTAATAGAACGTCTTAATATTATTAGAAAGTTGCTTTGATTTGAAAAAGGCTTGAATTGTTCATTTTTTGTAGTAGTTTGACCCTTGTGTTTTGTCATGAGCAAATAAATAGAAGCAATAAAATAAGACGGAGAAAAAAATAAAGATCCAGATTTTTCAAGAATTAATTAATCAATAAAACTGATCTAATGTCCAGCCCCAGTTCAGAAGAAAAACTACATGCTTAATTTGGGATCTTCTCACCTCCTGCCCGAGCAGGGCGGCCACGCAGGCCTCAGAGGCGTCACAGATGGCGGTGAGGTCGTGACCTCCCTCCAGCGCCAGGACCACCCGGCCTCCAGCGAGGGTCATCAGCTGTCTGGTCAGATACCCAAAACCTGAGCGGACAAAACCCATCTGTCAAATATGTGCATATTGAGGGTTTCTGCAGGGTTTATTAACTTCAATTAAGACTTTTTAAGAACAATGAATGAAATTTAAAACCCGTATCTGCATCAAAATGGAGAGACTTTGTCCAGTTAGACATTTTTAAACTTAATATTTACATGCATCATATTAAGACTCTTAAAGGGTTTGCAGACACTCTAATATTTATTTTCAAAAATTGGATGCGGTTGCACGTTATCCTGCTGGTGTTTGAGATAAACAATCTTTTGCTCACATTTGGAGGTCAGGGTGTAGCCGCCCAGCGGTGGGGGGTGTCCCTCCACGGCGTCAAAGCCGGAGGAGACCAGCACGATGTCCGGAGCGAACTCGTCCGCTATCGGCATCACCACAGACCTGGAAGGGTGAGGTTACGGGGGGGATTATCAAGCTGCACAGCTCACTCTTCCAGGTCAATAATCGAAACAGAAAGCAGTGAAGCGCTATTGATTGAGTAAGTTTCAGTTTGAGGAAATCTTGCCTCAAACATCCTGGAACACAGTTTAAGGATAACAGAAAGAACCCAAAGGACAAAAAAAAGGAGTCAAATCTTCCTAAATGTCACCTGAAGGCAGCCAGGTACTCTGCGTCTCCCATAGGGGGGTCTAGGCCGCCGGTGAAGGCCACGTTGACGTTAAACCCCACCCCTGGACCGCTCCCCACCTGAACAGAGGAACCAAACCCAAACAAATTATTTTAACGTCTGACCACCAAAAGAATGTCTTTTTTCTTACGTATTAAAATAATAAATTACTCTTAAGTAATAAGGTTTTGGAGAAAAAAATGTTTAAGAAAAGATTTAGTGGGATAATGATTCAAAATGTTTTGCAATGATCTAAAATATGAAGCGGAGAAAAAAGGAGAAAGTTCTAGCAATAAAAGTTAAGATGATTAATAGTTTGAAAAGATTTTCAGCCACTAGAAGAGGTTGACAAACTCGCCTCATCGGGTGCTCCACTTCCTGGAAAAAAGTTGCCGTCATCGTAGCGATGGATGGACATATAGAGGACGTTAGGGTCGTCGTAGAAGGCCTGCTGGGTGCCGTTGCCATGGTGGACATCCTGAAGTTGAAGAGATAAAGTGAGCTTGTTCAGAACCGAACTGGGACCGGGCTGAAACAAAAAGGATGCGGTTGCTGAGGAGACGGACCCAGTCCACGATGAGGATCTTGCTGACGCTGAGTCTCTGCTGCAGCAGTTTGGCCGCGATGGCCACCGAGTTGAAGTAGCAGAAGCCCCTGAAACGGCAGCAGAGGCGGCAACCGTCACAAATCCACACGCAAACGCACTTCACTGCTACATGGCGACGCTTCAACTTTTACACTCTAAGCGCAAATAAAGCCAGCGGTGGGAGTCGCTGCGCTCCCTGCTGAGGGGGCGTGTGGTGACGGCTGTGGCCTTACATGGGGGTGCTTTCCTCGGCGTGGTGTCCAGGAGGGCGGACCACCGCGAAACCGTTCTGGGAAGAAAGACGGAGGTTTGTTAACCGCAGCAGAAAAGATCGACACAAACAGACAAAAACCTGCTGCAGAAGAATTCAAATCTCTCGTTCAGTGGAGCTCCAGCCACAACGTTCTGGATATTTTACAAGCTTTTATGAGCCCGATCAAAGTTTTTGGAAAGTAAATCAAGCAACAGAACACTGGTTCTGGAAGGAGTTAAAAAAATTTTAAAGAACGTAAAACATTATTTGCAGAACTTTCCTCGCTTGTACTGATTTATTTAAAAGTTCTAGAATTAACGTTTCATCTCATTTTTTCTCACCGTCAAGATTCTTCCATGAACCGACACCTTTAATTGAAATACATCTTTCCATCTTCGCCGTCCTGAATCTGAATTGATTAAGAATCATGCTGCGGGCTGGTAAGAGCCGTTTACCTTCAGCTCTCCGGTTGCCACCTTGAAGACCAGCTCGACGACGGAGCCGACGGCGAGTCGCGCGGCGCTGGACGAGTGGACCTCGTTCCAGATGGTGTCACTGTCCACCTGAAACGCCAGCAAGCATGTCAGACATCCCTGCGCGTGAGGGGGAACTTACGGGAGATGAATTCGGGAGACGCTCGGTTGTGGACTGACCCCCACTCCTCCGCATGGCAGCCGAACGAACATGGGCGTTATGGAACCTGTTGGTCGGGAGGAAGCGTGGTGGGATTAGCAGAAAATGGCAGCAGATTCCTCCTGGTTTCAATGAATAGAGTGAAACTCACAGTCCAGTTTCTGCCGGAGTGGATTGGTTCCGTACAGCAGGACGTGGGCTTCAGAGTGGACCGTCTGCAGCTCCTCCAGAGTGGCCTTCCTCCCACGGATACACTGAGAAAACACAAGGGGTCACAGGGCGGCGATCGCGGTCCGACCGTCAACTGGAGTTGGGTTCCAGGCTCACCTCGCACTGAGCTCGGAGTCGGTCTCCTGCAGCCGGGACCAGATGCTCTGGATGCGCCCGGCGTGCTCCGGGTGGCTGTTGGTGTTTCCACACATGCACTGGTGCTTCTGCATCAGGGAGTCGTACACCAGGCCTGAGGAGACGCAGAGCTCTGCAGTCTGAAACTTTCCGAATCGACGTGAAAATTCAGGCATTCAAGGATTTCAGCAGGTGTGCTGACCTGTGGTGAAGCGTGGCTTGACGGGAGGATCCTGCGTGGGGACGCTGATGGGGAAGGACGACGCCGAGGCCGGAGACGACTGCGCCCTGGACAGGGGTCTGTGTCCAGGGAAGGACATGGACATGCCGGCGGCCTCCATGGACGCCTGGTAGTTCCTCAGCTGGTGGATACGCTGCTGCTCCAACAGCAGAGCCTGCTGCTCACCCGGCGACGCAGAAGACAAGCAGATGTTAAGTTTTAATGTACTTTCACACCCGATGCATCTAAACAAGTTTATCCTGTTAATAGCTACAAATTGGAGTGAAAAGATGAATGAGGTTTTGAGACTGGGTTGCTCAGCGGCAAATTTGACTTTAAAAACTGCATGTCTTTCCTCCCTTCTCTCTGCCCACTTCCTGTTAGATTACTGCCAAATAAAGTCCGCTAGAACCCAAAACGTCTTAAAAAATACCTCAATGGATGCTCGGATAAAATCAAGGTCATATGCAGACTTATTGCAATGATAAATGATCATTCTCTTGAAGCACAACCTGTGTATACTTGAATTTCTAAATTATGTTTGAAACAAACTTTTTTTAAAAATCGTTCTGAATATAAAAACCAAGACAAAGATGCTTATTTTGAGACAATAAAATTTTCTTCAACATTTCACATTTCAAGCTTACAAAGTTCACCGTAGTGATGAGAAGTGTGAATAATCTGATCAATTTTTTAAAAATGATTTGGCCATACTACTGTAATTACAACACACCGCCAACAGATGGCGGCCAAAACAAATGATTTATCTCTGATGTTTTATCGCGTGGGGGATGGATCCAAAGCTCTGGATGTAAATTCATGCTGTACTTGTCTGAAGAGCATCTCCTGCTCCCGTTCGCGGTGCTGCTGCAGTGCCTCTTCCTGCAGCTCCTGCAGCTCCTGCGGGTCCGGCGGCTCCTGCTTGATGGTGACCCCCGGCGGCAGGGCGCCGGCGTCCTGGTGCTCCCTCAGCTCCTCCTCCGTCTCCTCAGGGTGGCTCTGGTGCTGCCGCCCCACGGGCGACTCGCCAGGCTTCCCCATCATCTGCGGAAAACGCAAAACAATAATAACAATAATAAAAAATTAGTTTCATAATCCAACAAATCCCATCCAGCGCGAATCGAATTGATGAATCGTTTCCTTTCTCTGAAGCATTCTGCGTTTAACGAGCTTAATTTGGATTACGCAGTCAGCTCCTCTGAAGCCTCTCTGTTTCTAATTGGATGTGAGTGGCCCTGCTGACGGGACACCGGGGCGACATGTCTCGCTGATCAGAGGCATTCCACACTCTGAGTCGCGCAGCTCCTCGTAGACTCGCTCCACCCGCCCGCCGATTCACTTTCCACCGCCACGGACCAGTCAAAGCCCCGATGGCTTTCGCCCCACCAGGTCGTGGGGTGTTAATGATGTGGACCCTTGCGAGGAAGACAAAGTGGGAAGTTTCAAGCATGGCCTGCAGGTGTGTGTGTGTGTGTGTGTGTGCTTGTGTGTTCCCAGAGCTACAAAGCCCTCGGGTTCCCTGGTTTTATGCCAAGGGGACAGCATTGACGTCAGAGCATTCATTCGTCCTCTGGGCTTCTGCCTGAGTCTCCTTTGCATCCAAACAGACATCGACGTGTCCCCGACCAGAACCCTTTGCTCCACTTACTCAGAACCGGTTCAAACCCAGGTCCGGTCCCCGTTCAGAACAATCGCTGCCGACTGTGAATGTTTTCTTCATTTTCCTGTCTTTCAAATCTCTGTAAATCTATCTTTTTTTGACCAGAGTTAGTATAGAATTCCTTAATGATGTTTCAACACTCCTTGACGACATGATTTCCTCCTTTTTTCTTTACAAATAAAATGAGAAAAATGCAAATAATAACCTGCTGATGCTGTTTATGAAGGTACGTCTAGAGAAGGGCCGGCGAACGCGCTTTCATTTCAAGATCCGACATGTCCTTAAAGGGCCGGTTGTCCCTTTAAGGAACTTTCTGACTTCTGAACATGAACATTTTCGCTCAGGCGTTACGGGGATTCCCAGTTTTCTCTCTATATAATCATCTGCTTCGCTCTGTTTCTACATGGGTAATGCGAGCCTGCTGTTCTTCACAGACCCCGTTATGAACTGTGATCACAGATCAGAGGAAATATTGCTCCAGACGGAAACGCCGCTCTGTGATGTTCAACGAGAAATGGCTTCAGTCTGGGCGTCCAACCAAAGCAGAGTTATGGAAGGATGATTTTTTTAAAATTATTATTATTGTTTAAGTTTCTTCTAAATCTACAAAGCAACTAAGGTATGTCTGGCAACAGAAGCTGATACTTGATATCCTGGCTTTGTTAGCTTTTTATAGGTCAAAACAACAATAAAAACAGCAAGAAACAAAAATAAAAGAATTAAACGTGCATCTGGTTTCAACTGGATACAGAGACCTTAAAATAACTACATGGATGCATATTTCATCTGGACTAAATGAAGGCAAATCCCGAAACAACAGAGAAATGTTGAGGTACAAATAATCGGTGTGCCGGCGGCTTTTCCAGTGGTGCTTGTGTGGAAAAACCGCCGCTGGAAAACCAGGAAGCATCTGCGAGGGAGGGAGACGGAGCGGGGGAGGCGGAGGAGAGGAAATCCCTCGTTTCATCCGCCCACTTCTCCTCCTGCTCTCCTCCGGCGAATCCTGGGCTCGGATAGGTAAGAGCTGCTCACTTCCTCCCTGCCCATATGAGGCGCGGGCTTCCGCTCCGTTGCCATGGCAGCGAACAGTCAGCTCGCACCGACCACAGTCACAGAAACGTGAATGCGAGCGTCTGCAGATATGAACTCACACAAACACACACGGGCTGTGCTGTACGTGTCGGCCCGTACCTGCTACCACCTTCTTACAAACAGAAATACTACAGAGAGAGCAGCTCAGCCAATGAGGACGCCTCGCTGGCTGAGCTGCTGCCTACGCAAAACTACAACGCTCGCTTGGGCCCTTCAGAGCTGAGAACTATCCGTTTATTTTGCCGCAGTGTCACGTCCAGGGGCCGCCACCGGAGCCGCTTCCGCCCATCCACTAAATATCTCAAACCACGCTTTGAGGTCTTTTTTATTTTCATACTTCTAAGATCGGCAGACGACAGCGAAGGGCCGATGCAGGAGGGGAGGAGCGCTACCTTGTTGAGGTGGAGCTGCTGCTGCTGCTGGAACTGCTGCTTGTGCTTCTCCAGGAACTGTTGGTGCTGCTGCTGCACCACCAGCTGCTGCAGGGCCAGGGCCTGAGCGTGGGCCTGGGCGGCGCTCCCCTGGGGCAGCGGCGCCGACTGGGTCCGCCCCAGGGGCCGGTGCTGCCGCTGCAGCTTGGCCATGGAGGCCGACGACATGGACATGCCGCTTACGCCTGGGGACGGACACACACACACACACACACACACACACACACACACACAAACACAGTGGGGTTTAGGGATTAGATGAACGCCATAATCTGAGAAATGTTAAACTAGTAACGCTGAAAGACTTTTGACAAAAAACAGATCAGATCTGTTCAGGAAAACAGTCTGGATGACAAGATCTGGGATTATGTCAGGATTCATGAAGGGAAATGTCATATGTTTAGACAGACTTGATTTATAAAAATATAAAATACTTAAGGTAGTAAGGAAGGAGGGAAGAAGGAAAAATATATATAGAAATAATGACAGAAGGGAGGAAAGAACAAAAAAGGAAGGAAGGACAACATTTTGGCTCATGAAAAGGGCTTAAAGTCTGTTTTTAGTTTTTCCAGATGAGGAAAATGCTCACATTACACGTTACTGAAACAAATGTGAATAAGGTTTTCCAGTTTTCCTGAGAGATAAATATTCAAATCAACCTGAACGCATCATTCTGTGGAGAAACACAATCGTGGCAGCATCATGCTGTGGGGATCAGAGCTGACACATAAAACCAGAGGCTGATTAATCATTTCATTTCGAGGTATCAGAGTAAATGTGCCCGAACCCCCCCCTTCCTTGCACCGATTCCACCAACACAGGCGCTCTGCCGCCGGCAAACCGGAGGCGAGTGAGCAGATGCATGTGAACCCGACCCAGCAGAGCCATCTGCGCCGCCATGCTGCGGCGGCTCCTCCAATGCGATCATCCGAGCCCGACGCCATCTCGAGGCGCAGCGGCGGGGGCGGGGGGGAAGCTCTAAACCTTAATGGGGGCCGCTAAATGATGCGAGAAGTTTGACTACTGTGCAGATTTGTCCACCGCTGCATCACCAGGCCGCAGAAACCCTGCCGACGCGCAGCTGCCGGAGACGAGAGGAAAACAAGAAACGACGACGGTTTTCTGTCCTCCAGTCTGTAATTTCTCACATCTGGGGTCTTCAACAATTTTTCTTCTTTTTTTTTTCTTTTTCTTTCTTTTTGTTAAAGAGCAGAAAACAGTCCTGCGTGCGTCTGCATGTGCGTCACAGCTCTTTCAACGCTAATGCCTGCCTGAAAATAGAAGCCATGTTTTTTTGTCTGTGAATGAGCTGATGGGAGAGGGCACACAATGCTCCCATGTCACACTCTCATAGCATACGCTGACATATGAAAGGAGCTCATTAGTTTGAGCAAATGAATGGACGTCTGTCAGCAAGAGGGGGTTACATCCCCTCGGAGTGCGAGAACGCCTCACTTTTTGTTTTTAAATGGCTCGCTGCTTTCCTTCATGTTTTATTCAGTCAATGGCAATTTTTCCGGACTTAAATCGAGACATTTTTTTCTCAGTTGAAACATCCGGGATATTTGATAGTTTACCAACAAGCCATCAAACGAGATGATGTGGCAGCTGACTTCCTGTTCGGCGGTGTGCTCGTTTCCTGAAGAAATTCAATTGTGACTTTGAACATCAAAAACACAGAATGTCGTTCAGATAGAAACCCATGTAAAAAGCACCAAAATTTAGATTTAAACCAGGGTTCCTGCACATTTCCAGACATTTCCGTTCATCACAAAATACAAAATAAGAAAGTTAACAATGGACTTGTGCCAAATATTGTTAGGGTGATTTGAAGCTGGAAGGAGGCAAGGAAAGAAGAGGACGGATGGAACAAGGTGAGGATGGACAGGAAAGACAATTGGGGAGGAAAAAAAAAGTGACGACAAGAAAGAAAGAACAGAGGTAAGGAAAGACTGAGCCAGGAAGTACAGAAGGAAGGCAGGAATAAAGAGAGGACAAAATGCAAAGGTAGTGCAACGGAAAGATGGATGGACACAACAAAGGAAGAAACGAAGGAGTAAGAACAAATGAAAATGCAAGGAAGGGCAAAAGGACAAAGTGAGGAAGAACAAAAAGGAAGTAGGAAAGAAAGTTCACCAAAAAGCAAGGACAAAGATGGAGTAAGATGGACTAAATGACAGAAGGAAGAAAGGAAACATAAATGAAAGGGTGGAAGGAGAAGTAAGAAAGTAAGTAAGGAAGGACAAAATTTTAAAAAATGAAAGAAACGGAGGAAGGATACAAGGAAAGTAAGAGAGCAAAGGCAGAGATAGAGAAGGATGAATGGATACAATTAAGGCAGGAACGAACAAACATTTAGACAACAGGACAGAGAATAAAGTCCGGAAACACAAATATTTTTCCAAAGTCCAGAGCTGGAAAGTGGTAAAATCAGATTCCAGAAATCCTGCTTCCATGCATTTCCCAAGTGATTTCCAGAGTTTTTGACTGGGCCTCACCTGTCACCAGCGGGCTCTGAGCGGGACTCTGCTCCATCAGAACCATGTGCTGCAGCAGGGGGCTGTGAGCGCCGTGGCCGCCGGACCCGCCATCTGCAAGGTAGGGGCTCAAATGGCCACCGGACAGGAAGGGGGGGCTGAGGGAGAGGGCCGGCTGCAGGCCTGCATCCTGCTGAGTGGACGTCACCTGGAGGAGAGAGAGAAAAATAAAAAGGCAGACATTAAATTGCAAAATAAACACATTCATGGATGCAGAGTCAGACGGCTCTTACGTTGGAGGCGGCGGTGGCGGTGGCGGTGGCCGGCAGCCCCAGGGTGATGTTGGGGAGGGACGGCGAGGTGTAGAGGGACAGCTGGTTGATGGAGCCCTGATCGCCGCCGCACAGCCGGTGGGCCAGAGACGCCTGGAAAACGCATTCACACAATCTGCATCACAGATATGGAGAAACATCCGGCGCAACAACAGACACCATGATTCTGAATGACTACAAGTTCATTTTATCGATTAGCTGAAGCTTCAGGTTTACGACAGAGTGTTAGAGCCAGGCTGAAAATATTTTTCTACTCCAAAAAGAAAGTCGTACAACAATAGAGTTCAAATTATATGAACATGTCAGCAGAATATTGTTGCAGTGCTGCGAAAACTCAGTCAAATAAGAATGAAGTCATAATATTGGGAGAATAAATCAGTAATTTTAGGAGAACGTTGAAAATCTTGTAAAGTTATACTTTGGTATCAGTTTATAATCATCTCAAATTGAGACATATAGTTTTAACAAATATGTAAAAACATATTTATTATTAAAGCGACATACTGCACCTTTAACTCTTTAATTTTAAGATGTTCTTCTTATTGCGCTAATGTTACAGCTTTATTCTGGAACTTGAACAAATATTCAAGTTCCAGAATATTTGTTCAAGTATTGAAATACTTGAACAAATACTGGTCCTGACACTCACAGGAGAGGGATGATTGAAATAAAGGCCACTTTTAACAATATTTCTCATTTCTATTACCTCTTTTTGTAGAAGAAGAAGAAATAAAATCGAGTAAAGTCGGATCCGGTATGGAAAATTTTTCTTTTTTAAAAAATCAAGAGTTTTTATTTGCAAGCCTAACAGACTTCTGCACAGAGAAACGACATTTGCTCCCTCCTGGCGTTCTAACGTTGTCACAGCCACCAGCCTCCTCCACACTGCCAGAGTGGCCCTAATGGCTTCCACAAATAGCATCGACGCCGTCTCCCCGTCTGGAGCCCCGTCACCTCGCTCACAGCCTTTGTACATGCAACAGCCTGAAATGATTGGTGAGCTAGAAACTAGAGACACAAATCTAATCCTAAAGCTACAGCTTTTCTTTTCTTTTCCTTGTTTCATATGCTAGAAATAAAGACGGTGGGAGTGATGTACCTCCATGTTGTTGGAGACGGACACAGTGATGCCGTTCTCGTTGGGGATGTTGTTGGAGCTGTTGTTCGGGGAGCTGGGGCCGGAGCCGGGGGCGCTGCTGCACGCCGAGTCTGAGACCAGAGGAGGAAAAGAAGAAGAAGAATAATGAGCAGGAGTCTGGACAAAAACAAATAAACGGTTTGAAACAGCGGGATCCTCGCCACCACTTTCTCCCCCTCCTCCTCCGCCTCTCACCCGCCATGTCGAGGGAGCGCTTCTTGGCCGTAGTGATGGGGCTGTCTCTGCGGCGGAGCAGCGGGCTGCTGCGGCGCTCGCTCACTTTCTGCTTCAGCCGGGAGCGCAGCTTCAGGTTGGGCTCCGAGGCTGCAGGGACAAGGAGGGACCAACATCTGTCACGTTTTTAACACAAAACAATCTGCTGGTTTCATTCAGAAAAACCCCAAATGATGTATTTTTTCCCCCCATATGTGCATGACTGGAGTCAGAATCGAAAGAAAGTACACCCTCTTTCAATTCCAGGATTTCACATATCGGAATATTATAAAAATTGGCAATTGATTTATTTTTTTTTAAATCAAGTTATGATAATTTTAAGAGAGAAAATCTAAACTACACCATAAAAACCAGAAACTGAATGCTCTTCATTTTGTCGCTCTCAGTATTAAACAATGTCAGTGTGGAATGTGTTCCGTCTTGTAATCTCTGCACTTGAGATTAGATTAAAATAATCCCAGAACTCAGTGAAGACCAGTTAACTGCATTTGTCTCAAGTGCAGCTGATTACGAGAATGGAAAACTGGGCGAAAACAAATGAATCCGAACTTCTCATGCCTCTCCAGAGCTGCGTACGAAGCACTGAGCTTGAGAAAAAAAGCCTCATTTTCACGCAACAATCTCACAATCTTCCAGCTTGGGCTCCAGACACGTTTCTGTTATGGAGCACCTTCCACAAAGCTGCCCTGTTATTAAAACCTCTTTGCAAGACAAACTGTTACACGCCGCTGTTCATTTAGCCTACAATTCATCCTTCCCAATTAGATGCTTCTGAACAAGCCAAATTCATATTTTCCCAAAGATGAGCTAAAAAGCAATTGGCTCCAATTTGGGAGCCGTGTCTGACTTGCCTACATGGCATTTTAGTCTTTTGTCTGGCCTGTCACAGACTTGTGAATGGAGACAGGGAGAAGGGAACGGCATGTCACCTTGGCCAGGCCTCCGGCCACTAATGCTCTGTTTACTTTATCCCGACGTCCATCAGCCTGGAATCTTTTCATTATTCATTATCTAATTTTTGGATATCAAACCCAAAACCCACAGGACGGCACGGCCGGATCCATCTGGCACCGAGACCTCGAGGGAGCCGAAAACTGCAGGAAGCTCGCTGTTCCGTGCAGAGGAGATCTCCTGTGAAGCACACGCTCGCAGATTTGGTCCCGTTTCCAGTGTCAGGTAAAAATAAGCGCGATGAAAGGAGAGAAGTGTGAAATATGAAGTGCGAAGGGAGAGAAAGATGGAAAACTCCTTCCAGTTGGAGTCAAACCAATTAATGTAGACAGGAGTCTGCCTTGGAAGCCAATTTACTTCATCAATCAGACTTTTGAACATTTCAAGACGCGACATGTAAATTTCATCAAGAAAGACCCGATGAAGGGAACTTCATGCTGCCAGGCAGCAGCGTGACCAACTACGACGGCTTGAGGTTCACACCCATCTTTGAAACCAAATGCAGTTCAGGGAATATTGCTTTGTTTGTGACGTGGCATGCACTCTTCAAAATGAAAAAGTGCAGTGAAAATGTAACAAATGTTGTAATTTTGGTCTCCAATCGAACCCCAAGGCTCACAGTAGGGAAGTAGAAGTTAACGAATCTTCCCAATTAGTTGCTAGTTGTAGTTTTTTTCTGTAATATTATCAAAAATGTAAACATGTGGAGTTTGCTGAACTCTGCTAGGACTTTAAACCGGAATCTTGCATTTGATCAGATGAGTTTTTTTTCCCAGGGAATAGATGGAGAAGCACTTCAACTCAACTGTTATGTAGGGGAGAGGATGTGTGATGCTGTGGGCTGGCTTCTTCTCCGAGGACTGAACTCTTACATACCAAAGTAGGTTCATCTGTAAGTACGGATTGAAATTGTTTGTGGATAATTAGTGATAATTAGGTCTTGAACAGCTTCATGTTAAAGCTTTGCTGGTTTGAACATACAAAGGAAGGTTAAAAGCTTTCAGGGGAAAGATGTGCAACTATATCCGAACCCGAGCACACACTTTAGCGGATGTAATTTCTCCCTGAATTTGATCCCGAGACGGCGTCCATTAGCATGCGAAAGGAAAAACAAAGCCCCGGGACTGACAGGAATAATAATTAGCACCCGGTGAAACAGAAGCGTTGGGTTTCTGTTTTCCGGCGGAGTGAAAACACATTTGAGAAAGAGAATGATCCGGTGTGACAGGAGCCCGAATGATCACGGCAAAGATGTACTCAAAGCCAAGTGGAATTGATCCAGAAAATGTCAATACTCGTGAAAAGAGGTTTCCTCCGTTATCTGAGACGACTGGAGAGAAGACGACACAATGGGATGTTTATGGAAAGGCAAATGCTGCCAAACAATCTGCTGCTTTTTGGAGAAAATAGCAATGTCAGTTTAATTAAAGGTTATAGCTAGAGAGTCCTTGGTAAGTCTGAGCTACCTGCTTTGGACTAATAGACTATTTTCTCCCCTCATTTCATCCTGTTTCTCACCATTTTTGCACTACTTGCAATTACAGCTTATGACTTTGTTTTCTTTGCTTTAGATAGAAAGTATGGCAAGAACAGCAATTTTGGATGAAGCTCCTGCTGCTATCAACGATGCATATGTTCAGTTTTTCTTTGAAAAGAAAACTTAAGTGATCCCGTTGATGGACTTACTGCTGCCTAAACTGTGTATATTTATATTATTTTACATCTCCACTGTTCCTTTTCTCCTCCACTCTTATGGAACAAACACCAGCCTATCCAGTAGCAATGCGTCTAGTTTCCGAAAACGCATTTTCTTTTGAATTTCTCACGTGCGTTTTGAAAGAATATGAGCTAAAAAAAAAACCTAATTTGCGAATACTGAACCCCAAATGGAGTTCATCATGTTCACGATGATCCTCATTAGAAGCGTGTAGCTCCATCATATCACTCCACAGACGGCCTATTGTTGCCATTCTCTCAAAATGGGCCGTAGAGCGTAGTCAGGACCCTCCACGTTGTGCACAGCATGTTGCTTTGCATTTTTGCATTGTGCAGCCCAGACTCCCTATGTGCCATTGTATCCATGTGGAGGACGGGCTGCCCCAGTTTAGGGTAAAATCCACGCTTGCTCTGCCAGGAGCAGTACGCTTAGCTGTGCCTCTATCAAAGGGCGCTGTGAGTCTGAGGGCCTCACGCTTTTCCACCTCGGCAACGTCTCTCTGAGGCATCACTGTGTGAGCGCGCGGGCCACACAGGGCATTATTCATGTGATGCTCTCTCTCGTTCCTTGCTGTGTGATATGTAGGGGAGGTTAATGGGTTTGGGCCTCTATCTGGACAACGCAGGTTTTTAAGGAGCCCCCCTCTTGTCACGCGAACACTTTCCCCGTCCGAAGCAACTTTAGAAGCCGTGACATCGACCCGTAAAGCATCCACAAACTCTCCCGTCCTGCAGACGTGTACTAGAGACGCGCCACTGGACGACGTTCCTTTTCTGTTTTCATTTTCGACCACCGCTGGAAGTCCTGGCTTCCAGGCTTTGACTTTTACAACCTGGCACTGATATAAAAGGGCCTCTAAACTATCCCGAGCTGGGATTACCATAAGCAAACTCCACAAAGCACGTCATCGCTGCGGGCAAACATCAGGGTGGCACAGCTTCTCCCGGCAGCCGAGCACAATCTCTGGCATTATAAAAGCGGACGCTCCGGGACCGTCTTCTTGCTCCTTTTCCCCCCATAAAGCAGTTTCATTTTATGAGATCATTGTGCCACATGATTTATTTTGAATCCAGCTTGCTTGCTCTTGTTTTCGATGCTATAATCCTCCATTTCAAAGCCGCTGGAAGGAGGTAGGTCTCCATCCTACCTGCCCCAGAAAATTCTCAGTGTCCTTCACCCTACTTTCCCTTCTTTCTTTTTTTTAACTCTCACATTATTCCCCTCCACCCTCCCTGACTTCTTGCTCTCCCAGGTTGGAATGTGGCTGTGTGGGCCAGTGTCAACTGCGGTCTGTCCGCAGTCGCAGCCAACGGCTCACAGCCTCGGAGTAAACAGGGCCCGGCTGCAGCCGCCTGCCGCTGCGCTAAGTGAATAATTGCACTGTAAGATGACCGCCGCTTCACAGCTACACCGCCGCAGCACGCCGTTCACACGTCGCGCACAAAGCTACGCTTATAAACACCGGGAGGGAGGGGGCGAACAAAAACAGACGGAAAACAGCTGGTTTTACTCTGCGCCTCAAAAAGATGTAAGGCTGTGAGCCACAAGCAAATCTTTTTTTTTTTTTTTCCAGTGGGGCATTAAGGAGTATTTTAGCTGCTTTACAGATATCTGACAAGATCTGGGCAGGATCGAAAAGAAAACATGCGGCTCAGTGCGACACTACTCCTACGCCATCAGAGGGCAAAAAGCACAGCAGTGGTTTTATTCTGAAAGTTTTATGTGCAAGAACAGATGAATTACGGTGCATTTTCACCTGTTTTTCTTTGCAATGTCCCACTTCCACCTGTTCCTTTAACAACCTACAGCAGCTAATAGAAGATTAGGAAAAAGACGCCACTGCTTAGCTGATGTAGTATGCATGAGGTGTAAAAGTTCACAGGCTGCTACAGATTCACAATATATAAATATCTACATAATAATTGGTTATCTTAAAAAGAAAGAATAATGATGCAGCAATCAGCCGATAATCAAAGTAACATGATTTTCAATTGATTGGCTCAACCATCAACAGATCAAATATGAAAAAAAAAAGAATAAATGCATGAAGAATAAACACCTCAATCTATTTTAATATAAACAAAATTAAGATTATTTTATAAACCTTATGTTGAAAAGAAATAAAAGTAAGAAGCTCGAAAGAGAATCTGAGTTTATTCTCAGATGTCTGTTAATAGTAAAAAAAAGTTGAAAGTATTTCATAAACCAAAGATCCAAACACAGATCCCTGCAGAACCTCAATCATAACCAAAACGTATGTTCATTAAGTTACCTGTTTATGCATCAAACTCCAGATTGACAAACATTTTCCAAAAACTCTGAAAGAATTCTGGAAGGACATCTTTAAAATAAATCAGGTAACAAAATCATGATTTTCTTCCCACTTAACTTTCTCTCTCTGTTGTGCTCCACTACCACCTACACTAACTCTTTAACACTCTCATGTGGGGGATGCTGGGAGACCCTGACAGCCTAATGTGGATGTGATTAATGGAGCAGACCTGTGATGCTGTCTAAAATATGCCAGACATGAGTCTGCACTGCCGCTAGCGGCCGTAGCGCTTCTGCGTGAGCATGCATGCTGCAGATTCGCCCGTCTGCTCCAGTGAAACTTGGGAGTTTGGCAAAACAAAACAAAAAAAAAACACGCACCGGTCTTTCGCAGCGGGAAGTCGTCCCGAGGGTTGTAGACGCCCAGCACCGGGTGATTGTAGGTGGACACTGTGGTTTGTGGAGGCGAGCTCTGGTCCAGAGAGCTATGCTGGGTTTTTCTATAATAAACAACAACAACAAAAAGAAACAGAAATCATCAACAGCGTGCGTGTCGAGAAGAAACCATCTCGTTCTCGTGGGCCTAAACGATTAAGGCGTCGAGCAAATCGCTTGGCATGGATGCAGACATGTGTCGCCATCTGCTCTCTTCCTTCAGCGCAAAGCGTCGTTTGCAGGAAAAACTTAAGCCGCGTTTGGATCTGGCCCAAATGCATGTTCCTGACAGAGGGTACGCAGTCGTCTCTTCCAGAACTCAGTGGGAGGCCGAGTCCAGAGTGAAGGAGTTTATATTTAAGTTAGGAGCAGAGGCAGAAACTCAGACTCTGTATTACGTAACAGTATTACGTAACATTACTCATTCTCTCTATTGTAATTGTAATTTATGAATTTAGTCGTGCCATTTTACAACAAAAAACAACAAAAAACACTACATAGAGTAGAGGTAGATAATTTTGGAAAATGTAAAGTTCAAACCTTACAGCTGGAGGAAAGTGAAGACAAGTCATAAACTAGAGGGCCCAAAACAGAGCCCTGAGGATCCTCAGATCACAACAACATCCCAAAAAACATTACATTATCTGCCAAACCTTCAAAAATATTCATTGAAATTGTATTTCACACTCAAATTAATACATTTCAGCGTGAGATTACAATGCTGCCAAAAGAAAAGTTAATTTAAGGCTTTTTACCCTTATTTTATTTACTTCAATTCACTAAGTCAGTAAAAAAATTTATTTTGCATTGACTAATGAGTGTAGGATATTTTTTTCATCCTTTTGCTTCTCAACTGCGGATAAAAATCAGAACTTATTCTTTTGCATGTTTTGTTGAAAATCTCCATTTCTTTTTCATATTAATGTTGCAGTTTCCGACATAGCGGAAAAACTGTCTTGAAATACATTCAAATGAGAATAAATGACATTTCCCAGCTATATTTATTCCTCTGAGACGTCAGAGGAGTGGGAAGATGTCGCGAGGTCCGCGCAGGCGGCTCTGAACCGTCTTAGTTTAATTTCAAATGCGATTTTTTTTCTCATTTCAACCACGAATGCATTCTCAACTGACACAATTAAAAAAAAGGTTCGAGACGGAAACAAGAGGGAGATGAATAATCTCCCCTTTAACCTGTGTTTTTACTGTGTGAATCAAGCAGAAAACCTGCACTGATATCAATCACTGGCGTGTCTTTCAATCTCCCGATGTATGCTTCTACTTAGTGAACACTTCAGTCGACGCGAAATTGGAAATAGCAAGTGTGCACACCTGCAAAACGGATCGAGAAACACTACAATTAACTCCAAGGACTTTCAGCCGTCGTCAGGATCCAATATCCTCCTCTCACTTTTACATCTGCGCGTGTTTGTTTTCTGTCTCTAATCACTCAGTGAGACCCAAACACAGCAGGTAGGAGGACAGGAAGCATGAGTCATCACTTCGCTGTCAGTCCACGGTTTTCCGCTGTGTTCAATCATGTGACGTCTTACCGGTACCAGTAGGGGGCGTCATTGGGGAGGCCGCCCTGGTTGAGGCTCCGCTGGGCCAGCGCCTTCTTCTTGTTCAGGACGAACTCCTGCAGACGCATCTTCACCTCGGTGCTGGCCACAGCACCTGATGTACACGGGTCGAGACAAGACGCAATGAATTTCTTGAATTTAAAATTCATCAATACTTGAGATCCGTCTGAAAACATCAATAACTCTTTATTTTTATGTTTCAAACACCAAATACATCCTAGAAAGAGTCTTATGTGTAACTATCATCTAGTCTTCCTCATCTCCACTCTATGGCGTTCAGCCAATCAGCGCCAAGAATTATAAACGGAACTCTTGGATTGGGCAGACGTTAGCCAATAGCGTGAAAGTAGCATTCCGGCTAGGTATTTCGGCTTTTTATCAATTTTGTTATGTTCCCCTAAATTTAATGAAGGAAACACAATCTTATCTAGGCGGTAAAATATTATTTTATTGATTTAAAATCGTGAAATGCTGCAGACATGATGTGGATTTAGGATTAAAGACAGACAATCATCAGCGTAGAGAGCAATAACTCAGAGGCCTTCAAAACAGGAAATTTAATAATTGCCTCATAAGAAATTAAACAAAAATGACGCAGAACTCATTGGAGAGATTTGAAGACGCCATCACTACACATCACACTCATACAGTCACACACAAGAGCAAACACTGCAACCCTGATTCCCCGCTAGCCCGACCCCTGAACATTTTCCACAGAGTGTGAGAAGGCGCTCTCTCAAGGACGCCTGTCCATTTGCTTTCAATAAACTTGTTGAGAGAGACGTCCAGAGGTAATAACTCGGCCCGGCCTGCGCCAAGGCCACCGGGCTATTACCGCTCGTCCACGGCTGCAGAACGCGCCGGCTGTCCGAGTGAAATGGAAACGCATGTGAGGCAAACACAACAGTTATTTCAACCTTGGAGCGGCTTGAATGAGGAGCTCTTACTGAGCCTGGCTGCCTGAGGCCCGTCTGACATGGAGAACTATTTACGGAGCTATTTAGCTGTGGAAGTGTCTAGTTTTGCTTATTTTAGTGCTAAAAGACAGAATCTATAACGAGAGGTGTCAAATCCTTTAGTAAAGTTTCTCCTGCTGCTTCTAATCTCACCTCACTTATGGTGCTTTTGCGATAATTTCGCTAATTGAAGAACCGCAACCTGAAGTTGTGTTCATCACCTCGGAGACAGAAGCAGCATTTAGTTACAGCTGCAAGTTTGTGGAGTAAATCTGAACCAGGTTAGCAGATCTGGAGACTAAAACCTTTGCCTGTCTTTCACCTGAAAATGCTTTGATCCATTTGTTGAAACTTTTTGCCATGTGAGCCAAAAACATGCGCACATAATTTTTGCAACATTAATACACAAAAAATACTTTTTTACTGTAATTTATTCTCGCTTTTTGAAGAATGAACCTAACAGGGAATATTTAAGCAAGACAAAATGAATCTGATTCTTGCACACAATCTTAAAAGTGTGGCATGAATTTGTATTTTTCTCTCGGTGCTGTGCTGATTATTGACACAAATTTGCAGTAAGATGTAGATGTGGGCTTTAACTATGCCATTAAACGCATGATACATTTACTCTTGGGTCATAAAAATGTAATTTAATTTTAAAAACATAAAGCTAAATTTATTGTGACTATTTGTACATTTTTATTTCATAAAGTATCCAGATTTTTTCACGTGAATTGTTTTCTAAAACTTCAATTGCGACAAAAAGTGAAAAAACTCCAGGGTTGTGCATAATTTTTGGCACCAAAAGGTGCCAGGCGTCGTCGCGGTTTCGCACGCAGACGGGAAACACGCGGCGTCGGAGCCACTTACTCTCCTGGCCGCGCTCCTTGTTCTTCAGCAGCTGCAGCTTCTGCTCCCTCTGCTGCTTCTCCAGCTCCTGCTCCAGCCGGTGGTTCTCCATCTTCCTCTGGTGCTCCAGCAGCTCCTGCTGGTGCTTCAGGGCCAGCAGCTCCTGCTGCTGCTGCACGAAAGAAACATCAGGCATGTTGTGAGTTAAAAAACACTAAACTCGTAAGGCCTCGTCGTATGAGCGCTCTTCAGGACAATTCGCTGCCTTTCTCGCTTTGAAGAAAGCATTTTCATTCAACTTCTGCTCTCTCTGAAGTAAATAACTCTGACAGCTGTTCAAAGCCGTAAAATTAAACCTCTGCAATTCCTCTAAAAACCTCAGGCCAAACGCTTTAGCCTTTAAACAAATATAAGCAATTTAACTGGGAACGAGGCTTTAGCAAAACACATAATCCAATCTGCTTACTTCCTCATCGCACTGTAAAATCTTTTTCCTTTTTCTGTAAAAAGGCTGCAAGAGTAAACTTCTTTATTTTTCCGCTAAAAACCAATCTGTGGCCTGACAGCTTGTCCTGTAACCAAAAGGTCAGGAATAAAATCAGCTTCAAAGCTACAATGTGCCCACAATCGCCTCCTCTTCATCGCGCTGAAGGGTCCTCAGAAAAAATTAGACCCTCGCTGTGAGTCACTGCGCATAAAAGCAGCCAATTAAAAAGCGCTGAAATGAGCTTCTGCAATAAACAATACGGCGCTATTAGAGACTCGGATGTTCCCTGATAGGAGAACAAGACATCCTGAGGAAGCACAAGTAATGCTTTAGATGATTGAAGATAAAAAAAAAAAAGGTTTGTTAAGCCGCCTCACCCTAAGAGGAAGTGGCCTGATGACTGACACCGAGTGGAACTAAGCATTCATTTTTGCAGAGGAATTTTTGTCTCTGCAGAATTCACTGAGCCTTTAAAACGGGTCGGGTGGACGTGATCAAACTTTTACTCTGCTGCTCCAAAACCTCCAGCTTTTGCAGATAAAATGAATAAGTATCGAAAACTGAACTTTGTATTTACAAAATGCCATGATACCAGCATCATTCACTCGAGATGCGCTGATCCACTGTTTTCAGTTCTGATACTGATATCATTGCTTTCGGTCGATAATTGGACGCGGAGCAGCAGCTGAATTGACCAAAAACCTCTCTTTCTTTTTTTAAACACAGATATAACTGCACCAAATTGCAAATTGATTTGACAACTGCACACAACTTTAATTTGTTCACTCAGTGGAATCAGGAGGATGACAGCCAACATAAAATAAATAATAAATGACCTTTTGGGATCTTGTATTGCTTGTGTTGGTTTTGTTCATTTCTATTTCTTTGATTAGTTCCTGTTTTACTTACTTTAGTTCTGTGTTTATTCCTCGTCACTCTAGTTTTATTATGTTTCTTGGCTACAGTTATTATTTAGTGTTAGATTTATTTCCCATAGGTGCTTTCTCTCTCTCCTCACACCTGCCGCCCGTTAGCTCTATAATTAGCCAAGTCTTGTTTTGGTTCTGCTCTGGCTCCCTGCGTTCCCTGTGATTTTTGTACATTTTCAGTTTTGTCATAAATATTCAAAATGATCCATGCTCCCCTGGCCAGTGTATGTCCTGCCTCTCGCCCACTGACAGCTGGAGAAAGGCACCAACCCCACTGGGATGAGGCTGTAAGAAAATGGATGGTTGGATGATCCGCGCTCCCTGCTCCTCTCTGCTGCACCTCTGAGTGTGCAGACGACTCTCCGTGAAGAGCTGAGGAATACACAGTCCCTCCAAGCTTGTTTAGTGACCGAAATTTGATCGGTTCACAGCAACGGCACGTAATCAGCCGGGCTCCAAGCACTGTAACTGGGCATTCTGCGGCAGGGACGTGAAACTGTGTTTACGGCGAGGCCAAATCAGAGCCCCGAAACGAGGCTGTGCATAAATTAGTGGCTTGGGGCCGAGAGGAGGAAGAGCTCTCTGGAGCACAGCCAGCCATCGCTTTTTGACTTCAAACTGAGGTTGGGGAAGAGGGAAGAGGGGTTTTAGTGGGCGGGACCCCCTCGCCCACATGCACACAGGACACTTACACACCCAAAAACCCCTTGTGGCTCGGCCGACCAGAGCCGTGCACATCCTTCCCTCCTGAGAAACAGATTTCTCTGCTGTCTGCAGACGAGCGAGTGCATGCAAACGTTTTGATGAAATTTAAGAAGATGTGTATGTTTTCGTGTTTTCTCAGGCAATTCTGTGTGTGTTTTGTGTTTGTGTGTGTGTGTGGGGGTGTGTGTGTGTGTGTGTGTGTGTATGCCCGGTGAATGGACGTGATTGAGGCTTGGGGCTCCACGGTGAAACCGTGCGTCACGAACATCTGAGCCGTCCCGCCGCTTGAACCGCAAGCCAAGAGGACCCTTCAGATGGCAGCGGCCATTAACCAAAGCGTCACAAAAACCGAGGCCGGACTCTGTGCTTGGCAGGTCTTAACAGGGACGGGCTGTGTGAGGAATCCTGAGCGAGAGCGGCAAGAAGTGCAGGAGAAAGGAGAGCAGGATGCGGTTTTAAGGGAGAAGATTAGACGAACGGTGGTGATTTGTCTTTAGCGACTAATTTCGTTGCTCAGCGAAAACTCCAAACAGTGGCACGGTTTTCATTTTCACTTGGCATCAACAACTTTGCGGCGTTTAGGCATAATTTGAGGGAAAAACAGAAGCAATAAACAAAAATGCCCTGTTCAAAATGGGAAAGACAAGAGAAGTGAATATTTTATTGAAGATGCTGCATTTGCACATATGTAATGTTTCTCAAAACTATGTTGGAGAGAAATATTGTGTTGCTTTAATGTGCCGTGTTGGTTTCATGGTTATTGCCTGAGCTTTTGAGTTTCTTTCTGCTAAACTTTCCACTTATCATCATCAGTTTCACATGAATTTAGTTGTTCAAATTTTTCATTTATTGAGATGCAATTAATTCAACACTGCTGCTTTTATCAATTCATTTTTGGCTGTTTTTACTTATTAAATTTAAAAAAAGGATTTAAAAACATTATGAAGAAGCAAAAGTTGCACAGATTTTGCAATAAAACAGACGTACAATGCTAAAATAAAAAAGCAATATAAAGTTAAAGATTTATCTTCACTCCAAACAAACAGAGTCAAATCTATTTTCAGAAAAACAAATACTGCAGAATTTTAAAACGCCGTATTAAAACTTTTCCCATTTCTGCGCTCCTCATCGACGCTGCAAAGTGATGCATGTTCACATGAAACGAATGAAATCCGGTATGTTAGAAGAGCTGAAAGACAGAAGAATCCACTCCGCTCTAATTAAATTCAACTCCAGCTTTTTAATCATTTAAAGGAAAGCTTCACACGTCCATTTTTCACACTCTTCCTGCAGCCAGACACATCTTTATATTGCCCTCATCCATCCGAGGAGTTAAAGAAAATGAAGCTAAAGTGCCTTTCTGTTTCTGCTCTCGCTCTCCGCTCGAACCGAAGCCATTTAAAGCTGATGAGGCTGCTCTTAGCTGCTGAGTTCAGTCTGTTATCGAAGACTCCCGAGGCTGAATAAATTAAGAGCCGTCTTCGTTTGGTTTGGGAGATTTAAATAGCGACGGTGTACAAACCCGCTGGTTTTATGTGGCGTAATTGGACTAATTTAAAACTCCATAGGTTCTTATTTTTGCGACTTTTCAATGAATTTCTGTGACACGGGCGAGCGAGGTGTGTAGAAAGAGGGGGAAATCCTCTCTAATGCTGCTCCATAAATAACGCTAATTGTGAATGATGTACCTTGATGTGCTCCTGGAGCTGGGCCTCATGCTGGCGGGACAGCTGCTCGTGCTGCCGCTGGAACTCGGCGATCAGGATCTGCCTCTGGATCTGCTGCTTCTGCTTCAGGGCCAGCAGCTCCTGCTGCAGCTGCTGCTCGCGCACCGAGGCAGCCACCACGCCGCCGCCGCCGCCACCACCGCCCGATCCTCCCAGAGAGCTGGGCGAGAGCTGGCCCGGCGGGGAGAGCGACGACACCTGCTGCTGCTGCTGCTGGTGGTGGTGATGATCCACGCGCAGGTCCATGGGGATGGCAGCAGGGGGCAGACGCAGGGGCAGCGCGGAGTTAATGTCCACTGAAGAGGAAAAGAAGAATAATGATAGACAGGTGGAGAGATGGAAGGAGATAAAACAGATGGATACATAACAAAAGGTTGTTGTGATGATGTAAAGCCTTTCCCATTTTCTGCCTACTTCATGTCGCCAGGCAGCTCCGACTTTAGCAATATCTTCTTATCAAAACTGGGTGTGTGAGTGAAATTTAACTTATCTCTTCACAAATTTTATTGATACATTTCACACGAAAGAAATGAGCCCCTGAAAAGTGAGCGTTTTGCATCAGCGAGGGCGAGTTTCCTAAATAGGATGCACTCATAACTTCATGTCAACAACAGAAGCGCATTCTGACGCCAAAGCAAGACAAGCGGAACAGGATGAATAACCAAAACACGGCACGAGGTTAAAAGACACGCGAGCAAACATGTTCCTCTTCTTCTGCACGTCGCCGTGTGTTTTCATACTTAGCAGCTTCCAGGCTCTGAAGCTGAGGGCGGATTAAATCAAAGCACTTCAAGAGCGCCGTTTAATTAGTCTACCTCTTAGAAAAATGCCCAGGAGAGAATTTTTTAAACTTTGAGATTTTCATTAATTAAACACAAAAAAAAGAAAGAAAAAAAAAAGTCGCCCGTGTTTTTTATGCTCCTTCACTTTTACAGGAGGAACATTTGTCAGACTTAAATAAACAAAAACAAAAAACAGACTATTTTAAGCAGCACATTGGATGAACCACTTGTAAAACAAGAAAGCAATAAACAGATAACTGAGCTGTAAATCAGACCGTCGGATTGAAGCTCTTGGATTTAGTTGCCATTTCTGAGAAAAAAGTTGAACTTTAATGAGCATCACAAATTAACTCCATGCTTGTTCCACGTGGTTCCAAGAGAGCTACCTTTAAACTTAGTCAAATCCTGATAAGATCTATTGGGAAGAGAAATGCCGTGCTGCTCTTCCACACGGCCGACCATTCAGACAAAGCCTGCATTGCCCCCCAGTCTCAAAACCCCTGGCTCGGGCACAGGAAGCCCACCAATCCGCCGGCTTCCTACCAATAAGCCTGGACAAACACGAGCTGATTGGTCCAATTATTTGCCTACAATGTTTGCAGAAAGCCGGCGGTACTTCACGTTAATGAATCGGCAAACAAAAACATCAGCGGTGAGATGAACTGACTAACACTTTCAGTCGCTTTCTGCTTCTGCTGCGGGACGTTCCTTGTTTGATGCATCCCCCCTCTTCCTGAACATCACCGAACTGTAATTGCACATCCAAGCAGCTTTGCTACTGTTCAGGCCATATGGCGCCTATACGCTGAAATGCTCGACTCTCACTGTGTACAGCAGGTGAAATGCCCCCTCCTATGCGGTTATTGCAGGAGAACAGCGCAACGACATGCAACAGGGTCCTAAAGGACTGCAGTCATGTGGGGGGAGATTACAACACGTCTCACAGGCTGCTGCTGCTGCTGCTGCTGGGACTAATTGAAAGGGAGCCTGCAAGATGCGGCCCTATGATCTGGCATGTGATGAGAAGACGAGAGGAAGGAGAGCTTTGGGAGAAAAGAGGAGTTGTGTGAAACTGTGAATCGGTAGATGTTTCTTTTTTGAGCCTGGATCTGCACGAGTCACTCTGCAGCTTAAGTTTGGGAACCAATGGCCAATCAAAGATCAATTTAAAAAAAACAAAAAAAAAGGTCTTAAACTATCAATTTCAGTTGACTTCTATTAAGAAACCTTAAAATAAAACTACAACATTGAAGAGATGAACCAAGTGGAATGTTTTGGTGGATTTCTGAGCATATTATTATTTCTTTCTTCCGGATGCAAATACAAATTAATTCTTTAAAAATCGGAGAAGAAGCAACGTCACACTGTATGCCAGACATATCTGTTGCTGGAAAGAAGGGATTTACTACCAGAAAGAAGATGTAATGACTTGGAGTTCAAATTTTAAACCGTCTTTGGTGGCTTTGTGTCGGAAAACATTTACATTACGTCAAAAGATGCTAATTTTGGTCAAACTTTGACCTGCTACCACCAATTATGTCCAATTTACCTTTAAGTTGTACAACATTAGAAATGAGAACATTTAAAATAATAATAATGTCTTGCTCTCTCTTGCTTTCTCGCAGCCAGAATTAACAGAAAACATCCCTCGGCATATTTATTTTTAAAACACAGCGAACAATGACTTTTCTTCACTTCTTTGCAGCGTGGTAGGAGTTTTTCAAACATCTATGTTTCCTTTCCAGCAGGCCAGTTGCTGGTTAGAGCTGATTGAGCTCAAAGTTGTCCGATTTCAGCAGGCAGCAATTTTCGCGTTGCCTCTCCATTAAAGTCTAATATAGCTCTACCTGATTCTGCATGAGTCACTCTGCAGATTAAGGTTGCAAATCAATGCCTCATTTGAAGCCCTTAAGGGACAAACAGATAGAAAAGCAAAGCAGTCGGAAATATTGGTTTTGGGGGACGACGGAAAATAAGAAAAGAGGAAGGATGGGTGAGACCTGCACTTGTCAGAACTGCGCCGCAGCCTTCTCGGTTAATGTGAAGCTACAACTCACTTTACCCCCTCCTCTCCCCAAAGAGAACCCCCCACCCGGCACAAAATGTTCAGGTGGTGGAGGTGTCTCTGAAACGATGCACTCATCGATGGCGACGCATGCGGATCCGTAAACACACCTCGCTCGGAGTCTCCGCCACCCTGGCGGCGCTAATTGCTCACTGGATGAAAAGCGGGAGCTACAGAAAGAAGTCAGTGGTGTCGTTACCCATCTTCGTCCTCTCCTCCTCACTGATGCACCCTCCTCCTCCTCTGCTTTTCTTCCTTCAGTGTGTTACGGGGGAATGACAGCAGCGTTCGTCTGCCTTGTCCTCATGCTCTCTGTCTCTGTCGTCCCCTGCTCTGGTCTTAACCTGATGGGTGTCTCCCTCCCCTCCCATCTCATCTCTCTCCTCCCCTCGTCCCCGGCTTGCCCAGTGGTGACATCACAGGGCAGTCTCAGGCATGCAGCCTGTTTATTCTGCAGCTTTTCCAGGAACCAGCGGCTCTCTCTCTCTCTCTCTCACACACAGACACACGCAGCACTCCCTCTCTTCACCCTTTCTACTCTTTTCGCCTCGCTCAACGCGCTCTCCCTGCTCCTAAGGCCGAGGAAATCCCTTTTTAGCCTCTCCCCCAACCCCTCACTTCTCCCACTCACTTCATGCAGTTCCCATCCTGAACTTAAAATCACAACAACCGCCTCTCCCTTGTTTTCTTGGGTTTCTTTCCCTCTTTGCTTCATATTCCCAGCACAGAATCTGCCTTCATTTCCCCCCAAACAGATAAACAAGCAGAATGGATTCAGGGTGAAACGGAGCGGGGGAGTTTTCCCACTGCCTTCTGTTTGCAGCGACACGCTTTTGTCAATCTGAGGATCAAAACTTTACATCTGACTTAAAGTTTTGAACCTTCTGGTGAGATGCTTTTGGAAGGAGCTGTCGGCCTTCGTAATAAACTGTGCAAAAACATAAAATAAAATAAAACAGATCCCTCTTCTGATCTCTCTTGATTGTTCATCTGGGGCTCGGTCAGCATACTGTTTAAAGAAAGCACAAACAGTGTTAGGCTGAGCGACTCGCTGAGCAAACTGTGGGCCAGAAGAGCGCGATCAATCTCTCCCCTTCCCGCTGCGGCGGAGCTGCGAATGTAAACCAACTTTCTCTGAGTCCCTTTTACAAGTATGCGCAGCCAGAATTGTTGCGGAGACAATGCCAGGTTGAAAATGACACTCTGAAGGGACGGTTGTGGACTTGTTTCGCTTTAAAAGTGTCAGTGCCGCCTCTAAAGTAACCTTTGAAGCACAAAATGGCACAGCATCTTTTGCATTTCTGTTGCAAAACATCTCTGCAGGGTGGAATCAGTTGTGTTTTTCCACGCAGGAGGTTCAATTTATATTATTTTACAACCTGGCAAAGACCATTTTTATTACCATGCGATAATCTCTGCTGTCCTTTCTTTATTTAAGTTTTTTTTTTTTACCACAACAGTAAAACCACATGCCAACAGATGGCCAAACTGAATCAAACGGCGGAAAGCTTAAGATTTTTCCTGATCGACAATCAACAAGCCCACTCCTTCAAACGACAACAACAAAACAGGACCCCAAAGATTGAGCTCTAATACCCAAAAGAGAAGCTCCTGGGAATGGACCCGGCTGCTGCTCGGAAAGGATCCGCTCTGATAGGGGCCCCGTCGAGGCGCGCTGACGTCAAGCGTGTTCCTCCGTTTACTGATGCGCGCGGGATAAAGGATAATGTGAGGGGCCTTCGCTGCCAAACCAAAACAAAGCCGGCGTCTCGGGGGAGAGCCGCGGGAGCTTCCAGGGAGTCTTGCGCAACGAAGCCGGTGTACCTGTTTGACAGCAGCTGGGTTTGGGTTTCAGTTTGCGGGATCTAAATAAGGCTCCCCCTTTGATCCGCAGCCTGATTTAGCTCAGACTTGTCAGCACAAATAACGTTTCAGTTTTAACGGGAGCTTCCTGCCGCTTCTTGACAACAACACATTCTTTCTAGTTTTCATTTTGGGCCACAACGAGACCATGATTGTTCTTAAAGGGCCGGTTGCGCCGGAATGTGTTGATAAAACCCGTTTCGGATCGTTAAAGGGGCGGCATCACCTAAAGTCGACTTTTTCTTAATCAGCTTTACCTCCTGTTATAATGTTAGTCCCTCATCAAAAACAGACCTGGACCGTCGCTTTGATTCTGTGATGCTTTCATCGCCATTGCAACTATTCAGTGGTGCAAAACACCAGGGGCCTCATGCATAAAAGAGTGCGCAGTTTTCACACTAAAACTTGGCGCACGGAAAATTTCAGAAAAGCACGGCACACAAAAAAATGTTAAAATAAAAAAATCGGATGCATAAAGCTGCTCCACCCCGTCGCCACCCATAAATACATGTAGATTTGTATGAATACCCAGAAGTATTCATACCTCACATGAAGCAATAACCATGGCAATGTCCTTGATTGAAGCAGTGCAAATATTTATCATATTAATCGTTTTATATTTTATTTAAAAGGTGCTTTGAGGACACATAATGTCACCTCACAAAAATAAAAATACATTTTATTTTGAGTTTTGACGCTTTGTCCACAGAAACAGTTTGCGTGGCTGCCGCACATGTTTACGTCAGTGAAAAAAAGTTTGTATATTTACACAAACTTTGAATTTTTGTACGTGCCCACTGATGCACCAGGCCCCTGGCCTTTAAGGCGCAGCTCCGCTTCAGAGCTGCAGTTTTAAAGCTTCTGAATTTCACTCAGCTGTTTTTTTCCCCCATTAGTGCAAAAATTAAAAAATAAAAGTTACTTTTGGAGATCACAAAAACATAAAAATTTCAGAGTGTGCAGATAAAAACGACTTTGATTGGACTGATAAAATATTTCCTTGAAGGTTCTGTTTGGGTCTCTTTAGAGTCTATAGGGCCACATTAAAAGCTCTGGCGGTCCAGATTTGGCCCCTGAGCCTTGAGTTTGACACACGTGATTAAAAGCATCAAAACTAAGAACTTCCACCATGACAGCAGCCGTTCCTAAAACAACCGGTTTGGCATGAGCGCGCAATCCTCGACTCGTCGCCGCCTTAACGATGCCAGGCGAAGTCTCTGCAGCAAGAAGGAAGGAGGCGGGAATGGGAGCGGGACCTGGAGGCGGCGGTCCCTCGCGGCCTCTGCAGCAGGTGCTCTAATGGAGCATGTCACAGCTCGCTGCCCAGGCTGACGCAGGAGGAGGAGGACGTTGAGGGCGCCGCCTGAACGCAGAGCGGTAAACCTGCTCTCCCTAAAGCCAGCTGCACTGGAGACCCATTCATCGCCTGGGAGCTTCCTGTAAGTCGGGGCTCTGGCAGACGGTCACAAGCTCCAGCCGCTGCACGTCCGACGTGGCGGAAGCTCTTAAAACAATCTGTGCTGCTTTGTGCGAACCCAAGCTCAGGTGTTTACTTTGACGCGTGTAACTCCCAGCAGGTGCAGCAACCGCAGCTTTGCATTCCAGAAACAGAGAGCCGTCGGTTCAGACACCAGCATCCGATTACCGGACGAGTGCAACCACAAACGCATCAGCACTTTTCATAACTTTAATGTTGTTTTTTTTCCTTTACAAACTATTTATTGCTTCAAAGTGTCATGGCAATGATCCTTTCCTGGACTTTTTTCAGCCAAAGTATAAATGCAAAGGTTCAGTTTTAACTTGTGACATTTTTCCATCTCCTCTTCTCTATTCCTTCCCAAACCAGGAAAACTTCACCCTACATTTTACTGCATATGTGAGATTTGAAAAACTTTTTTTTTTTAAAACACTCTTGGGTCTCAACACGGAAACCTCGGCAGCTCCGTATCCAAGACAACAGCTTTCCAGAATATGTGATGAAGACGCTCCAGTGGATTTCAATATTTCATCACCCGACCCGCAGGCGTGTAGAAAACAAGCCGGTCTGCTGAAGATCCGAGAGCCTGGATTTATGAATCGGACTCTCCTCTGGCTGAAAAAAACAAAAATGTGCCCAGCAGCTTCATCTTTCTCCTATAAAATCCTACTCATTTATTCTCAGGAATACTTGGGAATTCATCATAAGAGACCGCTTTTCTTTTTTTTTCTTATTTCACACTGAAAGGCGACAGCAGATGCAAGAAAAAGTCGCCTCCGTTTGTTTTGAGACCCAAACGAAGTCAGGAACTTGCAGCAAAACACGCCAGCGACCTGCACAATAGCTTGTTTTGCTGTGTATGTTGGCAGTTTTCGCCGCTCCGGATTTTCATTCAGCAAAATGGCACAGGGAGATAACCGGCTGCATAAATAAAACACACGAGGAGTCTGTTGGAGGAGTTACAGCGTCAGAAAACGGGAGATGTTTTTTTTTTTTTTTTTTCTGCACATTAATAGTGGAATCACATCCAAACACACACACACACACAGAGAGAGAGAGGGATTAGGGATCGTCCAACCTGTTGGGATGTGGTTGAGCGCCGACGTCTTGAGGACCTCGAGCGACTGCTCCTTCCCCAGGATTCCCTCTGTGGGAGAAAGAGAACATTCTGCTTCAAATATGGTCCGCAGCATCGAGACGAGGGGGAGCTGGTTGTCGGCGACGACGCAATTGCTTTAAAAAAAAAAAAAAACAGAAAGTAGGTGGGGAGGGGGGGGCTTCAGGTCATCCGAACGGCTGGGAGCACGTGCCGCGGCGCCGCCGATGCTGCAGCCCGATCCATGAGCGGCGAGGAAGACGGAGGAAGAGGAGGGCGGAGGAGGGAGGGGTGGATGCTTTGGACCGGAGCGGAGCGCTCAGATAAACTTCGATTCTGAGGGATGCTGAGCGCGCTCATCAGCACTCGTGTGTCGGCTTGGTGTGTGTTTGATGGCGCCTGTGCTCGGCATAGCAAATGTGGCTAACGGCGGCGGAGAGAGGGATGGAGAGGAGCGCGGAGGGGAGGGGAGAGAAGGGAGGTAAAAATAGCTCTCCCTTTTGTGTATAACAGCACATGCAGAGCACGCACGGCGCACACACATACAGACACAAAAGAGGTGTGTGCATGTGTGCGTGTGTGAATGCATGCATACATGTCCGTGTGTGTAGGCTGTAATTATAGTGGCAACATGAAAAGGCTTTTGTAGCTGCTGTGCCCTGGGAAGACATGGCTATAAAAAGCAGAGCGACACAGAGGATGAGGAGGAGGAGGAGGATGCATCAGAGATAGAGGGAAAGAAGAGGAAAGAGGAGGGGTGGAGACAGAGGGGGGATGGTGCAAAAAAAAAAAAAAATCACAATCAAATGAATATTTTTAGTAACCACAAGCACCTGCTTCATATATGTTCCGATCAGAGACGTCTGAGGGGCGCAAACGTGCAACTACTCCTTTTGGACTGGAGGTAAATATTAAAAAATAGAAAAGAAAAAAAAAAACATGTGAAACCCCCTCTGGAGGATTAAAAGAGCGGAAAACAGGCGGCCAGCCTCGCCGTCTATTTCTGGAACTCTCTCTGGAATAGCCTCGCACATACACGGGATTAATTAGCTGCGAAGCTGGAGGATGCGTTTTCGCTGCGCATTGTGCAGCATCTCACACAAGCGTTTTTGGCCTAGTTGAAGACAACCCCACACCCACCCCTGAATCCTGCAGACTTGGTGCGTCCACAACGCACAGGTGAACCCTTCGGTCCCAGTCTGGGTGCCAGTGTGTGTGTTTTTTTTTATTATTATTAATTATTTTATTTGTGGAATTATAGGTGCATCTGCATGTGATGACACCTGTGGCTCTGGAGTAAATCCGCCCTGCTTTTCATGCACAACTTGGCCGGTCGCGTCTCACGCTGGAGGAAGCGGATTGGCTTTCGGTGAACCGGGCGGTCGCAGATAAGAGCTGTTTGCACACGGATGGGAGGATCCGGTTCACATTCTGCCAGGTTGCAGCCTCAGGCTTCAGTGGGTTTGATTGGACAGATTACATGATAGAACAGAAAAATCTGGAATATTTTTAGTCCAGTTTCTACTGCAGATCTCTCAGTCCACTTGAAATAAAGCAAAAAGGTATACAGGTGCAGGTACATTTTCAGGAAGATGTATTGATTTGAATCCTTAGTACTGATAATTAGTACAGAACGGGTGAAATAATATGGCAGTGGGACTAGTGGTTTTTCATCAATACTAAGGAGTTATTAATTTAATATAAAGTTATTTGCAAGTTAGTAAACTTAAAATAAGACAAAACTAACATATTTGCAGTAGAAACTAGACAAAAATACTTAGTTATTTGTCAAATTCCCCAAAATTTTGCAAAACAGCTCTGATTAGATGGAAACCGTGTGAGAACATTAGATCTACGTCTGAACTTTGACTAGACTTGAGCATCAAGACTTGGTACAGTCCATTAATTTAGCTCCCTATATCTTATTATCAAGTGTTAATAGTTTTTCTGTCCCCTGCTAAAGAAATCGTCTCCCACAGCATGACCCTGCCACCGCCGTGAGTCAAGGTTCACTTCCTTGCCACTCCCTCCCCAGAGGCCAGATCTGGAGCGTCCATGAGGACGAGTCGCGGTCCTCAGCCTTCAGAACAGGCCTGAAACGAAGCTGGCTTTTTATCGAGGAGTCCTGGCATAAAGAGCTGCGAACACAAAACACTTTTCACGACTTTGCTCTGCTTGCTGTACAAAATTCCAGTAAGTAAAACATGGGGCGTCTCTACGGGGTGTGAATAGTTTCGCAGCAGACGGAAACGGCACAAACAAGAGAAAACGGAACCGACAACAACAAGCCCCATCGATCTTAAACGCAGCCTAGTTCCCCGGCAGCTCCCCTCCTCCTCTCTTATCTTTCTCCCACTCCTTCTCTCATTCCTCCTATCTTCTGGCTCCCAGTGGGGAAGCATCGGGAAGACGGGAAGCTAAAAATAGCCTCCGCTACCCTCGGGCGGAGAGTCAGTCATCCCAACCTAATGCAGCTACTCCCCCCCACTCCGTCAAAAACATGCTTTCTTATGATGAGCAGGGAGAACAAGAGCGGTGCAGGGGGGGGGACTTGACCCGGTCTCTGCTCGGCCTTGTTGAAAGAGGCCTTTGTTTTGCGGCAGGAATGAGAATGAGACGTCTGTCTCGCAGCGCGGCGTTTACAAAGAGAGACGGGGGACGGAGAAAGGGAGGAAGGAAGGATGCTCCGGCCTCATTACATTCGGCGCACTTCCGTTCTCGCTGCCTCGTCCAGGGTGACTCCAGCGAGCAAGGTGAACCAGACAGGAACAATACGATTAATCAAACACGCCTCTCCTTGAAGAGCGCTTTTCCTCCGGGGGGCGCAAATTCGCTTCCCGAGGGCACCGCCTGACGTCACGGCGACTGATAAAGGAGAATGGGTGACCCCTGCGTGAGCCTCTGCTGGTTCGCGGTTGGAAGGAAGCAACTGTCTGACCCTGGTTTTGTACTGGGGAGAAAGAAAAACAGCAACAAAAAAAACACCAGTGATGCAATTTGCCATCTCCCTGTGCCTCTCTGTGAAAGCCTGTGCTTGATATAAAGTCAAAAAGAAAGAAAAAAAGCAGTAAAAATTTAACTGGAAATCGGTAATTACACTGCAGGCATCTGCTGCGCGTCCGCTGCAGAGGGGAAGTTCAAGCAAAACTAGTGGAGACGGAAGCGTGCGGCTCAGATTTATGAACCTAATATGGCTGTGACATTTCAATAGTGGGGGGTTTGTGTGAAATTTATAAGCGCATTCATAATTTAAGTTGGCGCGAGTGCGCCGCTTTCATTTAAAAAGCTGGAAATTTACGAGCTCAAGCGAGATTGGGTGAAAAAAAAAAAAAACCTGTAGTTCTCCTTCTCTTAACTTCTCCGACATCATTTTTTATTTGCTCATTGGAAGCCAAACATTTGCGCTGAAGTCTCCAAAATGCACCCAAACAATTTAATCTAGAGGGTTTTATGTAAGATTTGAATACTTTACTTATTCCCAAGCAGATGAGGCAAAACAGTTAGAAATAAGTCAGACGCCATTTCCTGCAAAGTCACAAAAGAAAAATAACTATAAGGTTGTAAATGTTGAAATGTATTTTCAGTATATTTTCCTTTTTTGGCATAAAAACCATGGAGAATTCAAGTGTGATCTGTCCCAGCTAATTGGTAACGGTGCCAATCATTACAAAAAAAAGCCTTAAATTGGCCTGAAAATTACTCATATTTCTTCTTTTAAGATATTCCACAGTCACAACCACTGCCTCAATGTCTAATGTGATTTAAATGAATATATTTTGTTTCGCATTTCATCCAATTATTCTCATAAATGCCAGCAAATGAGGAGAACAGCAACCAACGCGTCCAATTGGCAAATTTCCCATCTGATATCTGCAATTATGTGCAGATCTTCTCCTTAAGGAAAGGATATTTTAACCAATAATCTTTGTCGATATGTTTTTTATACCTAAAGGCGAAAGCGTTCAAGGAAATACGATTTGGTTTGTTTGAGTTGATCAGAACATCTCAACACTTTTCTTTAAATGTTATGAAATATATCCAAAATGGACATTTTAAAAGATGTAAGGTATTTCTTCAGATTTTTACTTTAATTTTGTGCACTTAAATCTTAGCTAAACAGAAAGGTGGGACTGATTGCCTCACTGTGTCGCTCCGGATTTTCGTGGCTGTTTTTAAGCAGCGGTTTGTTTAGTTGCAGAGCTGATGAAGTCGCTAAAAACCCAATTTCACGACTGTAAAAGCTTCTCGTTTGTTCAAATCTTTTAATCGAATGATTGGAAGCTGATCAAAAAATAAAACCTTGCAGGCTTCTTATAGTCTTATTCTAAAAAATCTGTTACTTCTTCCACCTCTTAAAAATTGGCTTCTATTTATTGAAAAACACAAAACATGTCTTTAAAGCAACAGCTTTTTTTTTTTTATAATTCATCATCTCGTTTTTGTCTGCAGAGCGGCTCGTATAAATAGCTCATATTTGCTCAGTTGATTTCCTAATGAGCATCCGAGATAATGCCACAAACGGTTGCTAAGAGACCTGTGATACAAGTGCAAAAAAAAAACACTCGCTAGCTGCGCCTATTGCCTTACAACAACAAACGCCCACGCCATCGCAGTTGCTCATAGTGGCCCTGCACCTATTATCAACTCAGAGTAACAGGTGCAACGTTTAATATCTGTCTCAACTTTCGCTCGTTTTTTTCCTCTCTCTCTCTCCACGCCGCCCCCGTTTTCTACTAAAGATCATCTTTAATCTGCTTGCGTAACGTCCAGCATCTCCCTGCCGGACTGGACGGGGCAGACATTCATACTTTGCGTACACCGCTGCATGCAGCCCCATGTCAAAAGGCACGGCGATAGGGTTCCGGGGAAGCTGTGTAAACCATAATTGCCGCCGACAGCTCGCTGGCAGAACACAGTGTATCCCGTTTCTCGGCTGGGTCGAGACAAAAGATACGGGGACAAAGGACGCGTCCCGCTGCTTTCATTAGCTCATGTTCATTCTCTGCTGTCTTTGTCCCAACACCAATTAAAAACAAGGTTTTTCTAATGATTTGGGGTTGAAATGCCATGATTAGGTGTTTGTTTTTTGGGAGACGCTGGGGGGGTTTGGGTGGTGCCTTGCTTGCACAAGGACAAAGTGGGGCTTGTGCACGCCGTTTGGACAACAGACCCCCTGGGTTTGTCCTCTGATGGACGGTTGATTGTGTTCAGCCAAGTCGGTGGCACATGGGAGGACGGAGCGGACGAACTGTCTGGCTGGCAGGAAACTCCTCTCTCTGGGAGAGGGAGAGAGGGTGTGGCATTGTGGGAACACGCCACAGAGTACTTTGCAACCTTTTTTTTGGTAATTTGGCTTTTAGAGAGAGAAACAACATGTCTCCACAAGTGAGCAAGCTAAGAAACGTGACAGTCCGGGTTGAAATTACCCACCGGGTGGCGTGTGCACCTACCACGGCGGCTGCCACACACCAAAACAAAATAATAAAAAAGGCCAGAGTTTGTGTCATGCATGCCCTTGTCCTCCGTTTTTAGCAGCAAGCCGCTCGATCATGAAGGGGAGAATCAACGCGATGGGGGGGGGAGCGGAAGAGAACCAAAAATAATGATTGTTTGTGCACCACATGCGCACGTGCTCATATCTGGTGTGCGTGCTGCTAAAAATAGACTCAGGGATAAGCCGGGCCCTTTTTATTGCAGTGAAAGCTTTTAACCCGTTCGGCCCCGGATTCCGCCGGCCTGATGTG